GGAAAATCCTTTTCGGAAAGTCATTTTCCAAGAAAATGACAATATTTTCAAGTATCCGGCTTAAACCTGAAAATAAACTGGAAAAATATTTTCCGCCGTTCGATATGGAAAATCTGATTTGATTTTCTCCTTGCACTCCTTTCAATAATTTTTAATCTCTTATTTTATTTTTATTTTTGAAAAAATCAAAATTTTAATTTTTAATTATTTTAATTTTTAAATAATTTGTTATAATTCTTTTTTTTTTCTTTTCTCTTTTTTTTTCGTTTCTTTCTTCCTCTACCGGTTGTCGGTCACAGCAACTGGCCACACGCGAGGCTCGACCTCGCCCGCCTAAGGCTGACGAGCTCGAGCCTCATCTCACTAGCCTCGAGTGAGGTCTAGCCTAGCCTCGCCTCGTTGCATTGCCAAATTTGTCAAGGCCGAGCCAGCGAGGCAAGGCTAGGCTCCACCTCACTCGAGGTCGGTATGGCAAGGCGAGGCTCGTCGGCCTCGGGTGAGGTCAACCTCGCTGTATCTGGCAAGGGGAAGCCTCAGCCGACGCCAGCGAGGCTCGAGCATGTTGACCATGAGCGAGGCTTGAGGTCGCCAACCACAAGTGAGCTCATCCCTCGCCTGTGGCCGGTCACCGGCCATTGCCGTAGCCGGAGACCGGCAGAGAAACAAAGAAATGAAAGAAAAAACAAAAATAAAAGAAAAGAACAAAGAAAAGAAAAAGAAAAATATAATTAAAAAGAAAAAGAACGTAAAGGAATGTAGAGCGGAAAGAGAATGAAAAATGATTTCCACTCTTCAAAAAGAGGAAATCATATTTCCCACTTTTAAAAGTGTATTTTTCATTGAGGGAAAATGCTTTTCTTTACTAGTTTATTTTCCGTGCACCAAAAGCCAAAAAATTCGAAAAATATTTTTCTGCGAAATGAACAGGTTAAGCCTCTCTTCTACCTTTAAGATCATGGGGTTGATCCTCCGGTCTTCACCCCTTAACGTTTTTACACCAAGTTTGAGCCATAGTCAAATATCTGGTTAATTTGGTGACGGATTATATTACCATCCAATCTATTAACAAGATCGGACCACAAGACGGCCTTGTTCCCAATCGAACAGGTTAAACTGATCGGTCCTGTTTGGTTTGAGAACACCAGATTTAACTATGGGTGGGTGGAAGTGTTAGCACTACTACTTTTAGAGGTGCCAAAATGATTTTAGAACATATGTTTAGACTCGTATATTACTGTATTTGGTCAAATTTTGTCATTTATATCTTATTTATGAAATTGGTCAAAATGGGTCTAACAATAAGGCCCAACTAGAATATGATCTCAATGGGTTTGGATCTACCTTATTTATATATCGATCAAAATGTAGGAAAAAAAATAGTGCTGCGATTGAAAAAAGAACAAGAAATAAACAAGATTAAAAAAAACAAAGGAGAGTGGCGACGCTTGCCGCTACCTCCGCTTGGCGCCACCTCCGGCAGCTATCTAAACGGCCACATTGCAATAGTCACAGGAGATAGGCATCTTCGACGCCGATCGTGCTCTCCAGTGGTCGCTAGAGTACATGTAGATCTAGAACTATGACAATTCTTCTTTTTAAAATCTTCTGATTTTTTTTCTGCTAAAATCATCCTGAATTCTTACTTGCTCCTTTATAATGCTGTTTTATTTAGATATTGTATTATGAAGTTTAAATTTGTTATATGGTGAGTGTGGGTTTAGGTTGAATATGAAATTACGTAAAGAAAAATAGATCCGAATATGTTTTACCGTAAAAACCAATCGATCCATTTATGACCGACTCAAATCCCACCAGGCCTAACCCATACACATTCACCACCTCTAGGCTCTAGCCACCGTCCCAACCTTTGGCACGCATGGGCAGTCTCTCTTATCCGCCCATTTGTATATTTAACACCAAAAGTCACACCCCGCCAAAAAAATTCACAAACCTCGATCCATCTTTCTCTCCTCTCCCCATCTGCTCCCTTCCGTACTACCAACCATTCATCGTCATTGTTGTTAGAATATTTAAATAATAAACCATTCATTCATCTAATAACTTAAACTTTTATAGCAGTTAGCGGTTGTCCTATAAAATCTTTCAGGATATCAGGTACCGAGTTCAAATCTTTTCACGCCTCGTTTGCCTCTCCAGTTAAATATTCCTATGTACTGGGCAAAAATACCAGACTAAGCGTAAAGAGAAGTGTTAAAATATTTAAATAATAAATAATTATTTCATCTAACAGCTTTTAGAATAGTTTGCAATGGTCTTACAAATCTTTCAATTGCCATCACCAGAGAGAGAGAGAGAGAGAGGGTGAAGCAATGACGGTGGCGAAGATATTTGATGTAGCTGTTTGAACGATGAAGCCACGAAATTTTTTTATATATTATGAATAATCTAATGCAACTTTATTATTGTCCAAAAAAATCATTGGATACTTGGGTTAGATGTCATAGATGCTTCTCAAAACAAGAGGACTGGAATAATCCTTCCATGGAAATTATGTAGTGCCGGTCAAGGTCGTCGCTTGATTCAACGGTTGGAATCCTCGTGCAAGACAATCGGACGGCAACAAGTGAGTGGGGCCCACGCTCAGAACACACGGAAAAAACAAAGGCCAAAGTCCAAAGTGGGACTATCTATACGAAGCCGCGTGGAAATTTCCACCACCATCCCCCCAACCCCACGTACACGTGTCCCCATATCGACCTTTCACAGATTGATTTTTCTCCCGTTGACCCAGTCAACCCCGCTGCTCTATAAGAAACAAGGCCCACCAGCCCCTGCTTCTTCACCATCTCCTCTAGAGCCCTTCAGTCCCAAACATCTCCCTGAGGCAAAGAAGATCAGCTCTCGTTTCCAAAAACTAGGAACCGGTCCTTCTAATCCGGTTCCCGATTCCTAGATGGGACTGAACTGGATCGGAAACCAATCACCCCTAGATTTGACTAGGTTGTTTTACCATCCAAGATATTAACAAGATTGGACCATACAATGGTCTTGTGCCCAGACCGGTCCTATTTAGTTTCAGCATACTGAATTTAACTACCAGTGGGTGGGAAGTGTTAGCACTCCTTTTAGAGGTGGCAAAATGATGTTAGAACATATGTTTTGACTCATATATTACTGTATTTGATCAAATTTTGTCATTTAGATTTTGTTAATGAAATAGGTTAAAATGGGTCTAATAATAAGGCCCAACTAGAATATGATCTCTATGGGTTTGGATCTACCTTATTTATGATCTAGATTGATCAAAATGCAGAAAAAAAAAATAGTGATGCGATAGAAAAAGAAAGCGAAATTTAAAAAAAGAAAACAAAAGGAGAGTGCAACACTTGCCGCCACCTCCGGCGGTGATCCGAACGGCCACATTGCAACAATCACAAGAGGCAGGCATTTTCGACGTCAATCGTGCTCTCCCGTGGTCGCAAGAGTACATGTAGATTTGGAACTATGACATTTCTTCTTTCTAAAATCGTTCAATTTTCAAATCTACTTATTCAAATTGTTTTTATCTTAATTTTTTGCTAAAACCATCCTCATTAGTTAATTGCTCCTTTATAATGTGGTGCTTTATTTAGATAATATAATATTACGAAGTTTAAATGTGTTATATGGTGGATATGGGTTCGGGTTGAATATGGGACTACATAAAAGAAAAATAGATCCGAATACGTTATATCATAAAAATCTATTAACCCATTTACGACCGACTCAAATCCCATTGGGTCTAACCCATCCATTTGCCGCCTCTAGGCTCTCCCTACTCTTATTGCCCATCTGTATATTTAACACACCAAAAGCCGCACCAGCGCCAAAAAATTCCAAATCTCGATCCATCTTTCTCTCCTTTCCCCATCTGCTCCCTTTCGTACCACCAACCATTCATCATTGTTGCCATCACCAATCGCACAGCCAAGCTCTTCCGTGAACCTCAGGTTCAAGATCCACCACCGCCAATATTTGATGCAACTCTCGAACGATGAAGCCACAAAAATTTTGTATACATTATGAATAATCTAATGTAACTTGTTATTGTCCAAAAAGAAGTCATTGGCTACTTGGGTTAGATGTCATAGATGCTTCTCATTCATATGCGCACTAAAAGTCTCGCGCCGACGGGTTTCAATTCACCATCAAAACAAGGGAATTGGAATAATCCTTCCATGGAAATTTTGTAGAGCCGGTCAAGGTCGACACTTGATTCAACGGTTCGAATCTCGAGCAGGACAATCGGACGGCAACAAGCGAGTGGGGGCCCCACTCAGAACAACCAACCACAAAAAGAAAAAAATGACAAATACAACGTAAAACCTCAAACGATGTCGACACATTTATCTTAAACTTTTTCTGTAGCATAGAAAAATCCTAAACATATACATGTGTGACACATTTACCTTCCGTTAAAGTTTCATAAATGAAGACCGTTAAAAATTTGCCTATATTGATGCCGAAAAGCAAATATCGTTGACGCCATTAAATACAAGTTTGCCGTTTGTTATGTCACAGAAAAAAGTTTAGGGTAAATGTATCACAGTAAGCATAATTTAGAGTTTTTTATGTCAAGTGTCACAGTAAGCATAGTTTAAGGTTTTACGTGACTTTTTCCCACGAAAAAATAGGCCAAAGTCCAAAGTGGGAAATAATAAATAATTATTTCATCTAACAATTTTTAAAATAATCGGCAATGATCTTACAAATCTTTCAATTGCCATCACCACTTGCAGAGAGGGAGGTAGGGCGAAGCAATGACGATGGCGAAGATATTTGATGTAGCTATTCGAACGACTAAGCAACGAAAATTTTTTATATATTATGAATAATCTAATGCAAGTTATTATTGTCCAAAAAAAGTTATTGGCTACTTGGGTTAGTTGTCATGGATGCTTCTCAAAACAAGAGGATTGGAATAATCCTTCCGTGGAAATTATGTAGTGCCGGTCAAGGTCGTCGCTTGATTCAACGGTTGGAATCCTCGTGCAGGACAATCGGACGGCAACAAGAGAGTGGGGCCCCCGCTCAGAACACACGGAAAAAACAAAGGCCAAAGTCCAAAGTGGGACTGTATATCTACACGAAGCTGCGTGGAAATTTCCACCACCATCCCCCCGACCCCACGTACACGTGTCCCCATATCCACCTTTCACAGATTGATTTTCTCCCGTTGACCCAGTCAACCCCCGCTGCTCTATAAGAGACAAGGCCCACCAGCCCCTGCTTCTTCACCATCTCCTCTAGAGCTCTTCAATCCCAAACTTCTCCCTGAGGCAAGGAAGATCAGCTCTCTTCTGGCTCGAACAAGATTGAGGAACCTCAATCTTGTTCTTCCCTCAGTGTTCTTCGGGTAACGTTTCGCGATCTTCGCAGGGTTCTTTAGGCCTTTGATAAACGTATACTCCACACGATGTTCAACTTTAGTTACCGTCATCTGCCCATGCAGACACAGATCCACGTAAAAACCCTGAAGGGCAAGACCGTGATCATCGAAGTCGAGAGCTCTGCGACGGTCCACAACGTGAAGGTCCAAATACAGGACCGAGAAGGCATTCCCATGGATCAGCAGAAGCTGATCTTCGGGGGCAAGGAGCTCAAGAACGGCGTCCAGACGCTCGCCGAGTACGATGTTCACAACGAGTCCGTGCTCCACCTCGATCTCCGCCGAAAGGGCAAGAGAATAGGTATGTTGCGCTTTCTCGCTTTGGCTCGGCGGCTTCTGAGGTGAATATTTGGTAGTCTATGTAATTGCGTGTTGGTGAATTATTATTGATGTGGTCAACAGAATCAATTGGGCTTGCACATCATGAAATATGCTTATCCTGAGAGTTCGTTAATTGAAGAGGATGTGGACGACCTCGCTATTTTTCACATGTGGTGGACTCTATCTACTGCACAGCAAGCCAAATCTAAGACCAATGTAAGGATTCTTCGACTTTATGAAGTAACATATCTGTTTCTTTCCCATTTTGAGAGCTCTGTATGAGCCTAAACATGGCGAATGTATGAATGAGTTTGAAGAATAGTGTATTGTCTAGGGTGATGTTATATTTCCTTTTTTGTCGTTCGGTCAATTTGTCGGCTGAATCATCTGTAACCGAAACTACATGTTTAATTTGCATGCCCATTTTCATTGGTGGATGAGCAAGGGCTTTAAGCTTTAAATAGATTGTCGCGATGCAGGTGTGACTGATTAAACACGGCATGGTGGAGGTTGTCTTTCTATTAGTGGATCGGAGAAACAAAGGGACATCCACAGTTGAACTTTTGTCATAGGCCAGTCGAGTAGGACTCGCTTAAATCATTCTTTTGCGATTGATACACGCCTTCACCGACGAGCGAAGGAGAGAATATCAGTACATACAGCATTGCCCTTTTGCATTCTTTTCATGGTGCGATTAAATGACTCAACCTGCGTATTAATTATTCTTTCATTTGTCTCTTGCTAGATGTAACCGCAGACGAGGATGATACGGATATGAAATCCAAGATCTGATGGAAGATCGATACTCTCAAACCCTACCAGACAGTCAGCAATGCTAGCACTACTTAGTACCGATAATATAACTAGAACTTGCGTTGAGTTGGATGCAAGACCGACACTGCATCACTATGCAAACGTGCATCGAGACTTTCACGTTGGCAGGCCTTACATGTTGGAGTTACAGAGTTCCGTCGAACCATGAAGCCTTTGAAGGGAAAGGCCATTCATGTTCCTGATGCTTAAAATTGGAGTCACTTCACTTGAAAATAAGAAACATAAAACTCCTGCGCGAAAATCTTTTGATGTTGTGGAAATCAACAAGAAAAATGGTTTTTCAAGAGATAATTCTTGAAAGATGAATGGTTTTGCAAGAGATAGACCTTGCCACCAGGAAAGATGTCGATAAACACAGCCGTCGAATTTGACTTGCACTGTTGAAGAGGTGGAAGTCAAATTTATCTACAATAATTCAACTATATGGACAACTTCAAACTAGATTTCTCCCAAAATAATAATTAAAAAAAAAGAGGAACTTTGAATTAGATGGACAGGAGATGGTGAAGTTAGAATTTCAAATTACAGAGTTCCGTCGAACCATGAAGCCTTCGAAGGGGAAGGCCATTCATGTTCCTGATGCTTAAAATTGGCATGGGAGGCTTTTCTTCACTTCACTTGGAAAATAAGAAACACGAAACTCTTCCACGAAAATCTTTTTGATGTTGCGGAAAATCAACAAGAAAAATGGTTTTTCAACAGATAATTCTTGAAAGATGAATGGTTTTGCAAGAGGTAGTTCTTGCCACCAGGAAAGACGTCGACAAACACAGCCGTTGATTTGGACTTGCACTGCTGAAGAGGTGGAAGTCAAAATTGTCCACAATAATTCAACTATATGGACAAATTTCTCCCAAAATAATAATAATAATAAAAGGAACTTTGAATTAGATGGACAGGAGATGGTGAAGTTAGAATTTCAATTACAGCTCTTGGTATCCATTGGAATGAACTCTTTGGAAAGGAAATCTTGGAGGTCCACATCTTTTTAATTAGAAATGGTAAAGGGGTGGGTTGACAAGTCAGGTTTGAAAAATCTGACCAAAAAAATCAATCGGTTTGAAATTGGGTTATCTTGAATTTGAATATAGTTTTTGGCTTTGGGTGATCCCAGGTCTTTTTTTAATACATTTGAGTGGAATCCGGGTTGGACTCAATCAATTCTCAAGACATCTTCAGCTTCACTTCCTTTGATTTTGAATATATAGGGTTTAGGTTCTACTTGGATGGTATGGTACCAACTTAATTCTGGATCGTTTGGGTTTGGTTTTTTCTTCAATTGCTAGTTCAACGGCCAGAATCGAATATTAAGATATGTAAGGATTGTGTTTGGTTTGGCTTAATTTGTGTTTGGTTTACTTTGGCAATTGGGTTCGTGTCGATCGCTTCGAATTGGAAGATGGGGAATTTTACCCATGTATCGACCCCATCTCTTGTGTTCATTATATTGACCATTGGATGTGCACCACATGACAACTTCTGTACCATCAACAAAAAAAAAGCCCTAGTATCCCTCCCTCCCTCTCTTACCTCAGCCTACATCGACGTGCCTCCGGCGTCGTCACCCGCTCATCCCTGCCAGCTTTGGAAGCCGAATGCCAGCCTCCCTCTCCGTCGTCAGTCGACTCTACAAACCCATCACCCAAGGTCAAAGATTGCTTCGAACGTCAAAAAACGCACCTTCGACCATTGCCAACACCAATTGGCCTTGCATTAGGGCCGATTGGAGGTCCTCGACCACAGAACCACCTAGATCCGAGGTCGAGCGAGTTCTAGATCTGCTCCAATTCAACTAGAGTTATGACCAAAAAAGAAAAACTAGAGTTGAGCCTACAAAAGTTTTGGCAATTTAATCAAAGAAAAAGTTAGTAAGTCACACAAGAATGATTGGTAATTTCATAAAATAGTTATTAAATTTAAGACATTGATAAGAAAATTTAATAAAAATTGATAAAAGATAAGAGAAGTTGGTAATAAAAAAATATAAACATTGGGTAACTATCTCAAATAAGTAGTGGTAACGCAACTACTTAGTGATTTAACCAGAAAAAACTTGATAATCACTCTAATTAAAGTTAAAAGTTTCCACAAGGAGTTGGTAAATTTTATAAGTTGGTAAGCAAGACAAACGACAGTGGCAACTCAAAAGAAAAGTTGATAAGTTTAAGAATCGATAAATAAATGTTGGTAAGCAACTCAAAATTAATCGGTAACTTAATCGGAGAAAGTTTGTGAGTCATACAAAAGAAAGTTGGTAATTCATGTAATACTTATAAAATTTAAGCGCAGTAAATAAGTGACAAGAGAAAATGTGTGTTAAAAAAAAAGGCATGGTAAGATCAGTAAATAAGTGGTAAGAGAAGTTCTTTTGTCAAAGATCATGGAAATGGGCAGTTAAAAAAAACATAGACAGTCGTAACAAACTCAAATAATAGTTGGTGATTCAAAACTAATTTACAATATTAGAAAAGTTGGTAATCATTCTAATTATTGGGGTTAGTAATGTTAAGGGAAGAAAATACTCAGCAAATATTTAGGGAATATTTGTTATTCTATTACCTTTTGTATCTTATCTGTTAAGGGAAGAAAATATTTAGGGAATATTTGTTATTCCGTTACCTTGTGTATCTTATCTCTTAGAGTTCTTTATATACATTGTATTTGCAGCACAATAATGTACAGAAAAAAGAGGAATAAAATTTTCTTCTCTAAAACCTAATTCTTTACTGAGCCTCACAGCTTCCTCATGTATCTACTGCAATTGCACTAGCTTCCTTTACGTAGATAGAAAAGTTGGTGAAAATAATTAAACGTCATTTTCTTATAAGTTGGGGAGTTTGATTAAGTTGAGAATCTCCCATTCTTGATAGTTGCTACTTCTGAATGAACGGATCCATGAAGAGAGTATCCAATTGTCACAATGAGATAACACATAGTAGAAGCTAATGTAATCCCTCAAATTAACCCAATATTAAAACCATTATTAGGTTTTGCATCTTACAACTATAGTTGGGAAAAATTGTCGAAAGAGTCCAAACGTATTGTAGGGAGACTAATTCAGTCCTACACCTTTTAATTGTACCAATTTAGTCCTAAACCTTTTGACGATTTGCCAATGTAGTCCTTCCAGCCTAATATCCAAATAATAGGTTTAGGACTAAATTGGAAAACTTCAAAAGGTTTAGCACCAAATTGACATAATTGAAAAGTTAAGACTAAATTGGCACATCATCAAAAGGTTTACGACTAACTCGGCACAATGGAAAGGCTTAAAGGCTGAAGACTGAATTGGTCGCCGTACAATATGTTTATGCCTTTTTTTTCAATTATCCTGCTATAGTTAACACTAAGTCTATCTATATAGAGGCTGATCAAATCATATTATTAGTCATCTCCTAGCGAGGAAAACTAAACTGATAATCATAATGCGTACTTACTGAATGCGTCTGGCGTTTGGGTCGATGAGATTAAGTCGAACGTTTAGCGCCGAAAAGTTGTCGAGACACCGTGTAAAGTGAAAAGGCACAAACCGCTAAAAGTCAACCGGATCGAGCTGGAATTTTTATCTGTAAAGCATGCTTTAGGATCGATGATCATACAACAATGCAAAAACAAATTTGGTCTTTTGAATTGCTGGTCAAGATTGGTAGGAAGCCGTAGCTGTTGATCACAAAGTTCAGACGAATATAATAACATTTGCATTGCAGAAACATTTGCCATTATATACAATTCTATGCGATCCATTCAACCGATCAGGCTCTTTTTCCTTTTAATCCCACGTTATAAATCTGTCGCAGGTGGCTTCGTTAGAGTTCAAACACTGACAACCTCGTCATTAGTCGATAAACAAAGGAATGTAACTATCAATCCGCGTCATCTAATCTTAATTAATTGAAAAACATGTTTATCGCTGTTTGACTCTAGTGATTTATTTATCCTCAAATAAATGGAAAATAAATTAAAATACATAAGAAATGTGGGCCCCACAACTTTCCGTTTGAAAGGTGACTGGGACATTAGTTAATTGGCCGCGTACTTATCTTGAAGAATTTAGTAACTGCAATTAAAGAAAGTTTTTTTTTTTTGGGGTCGAAAATTAATTAATTAATTAAACAAAAAGTTTGAAAGTACGTTTTTTCTTGCTTGTCCCCACATCACCACCACCTCTGATCGATGCAGACTTTTACAACTACCGTACGAGAAATTTGTTCAATCGAGATGTACTGTTTTGTCCCATGTCTCTTTCCACCTCCATTTTGCCCTTTCTTCCATGTTCATGTATTCTTAATCCATTTTGCACTTGTTAGATGTTTATAATAGAAAGTGTACATTGTTTTACTCGAATGAAATAACCCACAAATTGGACCTACTAGTGATAAATGACATATTTGTCCCAAACTCATTTTCCTCCCACAAAAAAATCCAAATTGATAATTCAGGACACATTAACCCTCAAATCAATTCATCAAACATAAGACAACACTGACCCAGATTCAACCTCCATTACCATTATCCCATTAAAATGTATGCGTGTTAGCACAAGTAGCAAGCGACTACAAGACGAATCTAACATGGAGAATGATAGATAGGATGTGGAAAATCCTTGTGTGTCAACATATAAGCATTTTAATGGAGGTAGATTAAGGTCATGAGTACCGATTAGGGATTTTTTGTAAGTCTAAAATTTGTTGGGGGTAAATGGGTCATGAGATATCAGGTTGGAATTTTTTGTGAAACGAAAATTAGTTTAAAACAATTATATCTTATATCATATGATATAGAGTTGGTAATTTTAATGGTATTGACTCTAATTTAAATGCCAAGAGCAATAATCAGAGCATGACTCACAGACAAAAACCAGATGTTGCCTATCCTCTGTGACCCAATCCAATGCAAGAACCATCTATCCTTGTTGCCTATCCTATGTTAATAATCACTTTTAGTTCATCCAGTCCTTGAATAAATTTTAAAAGATTTCACGAATTGTATCCGGTGAAGGTTGTTCTGTGAATCTTTCTGCTGCAAGTGGGTGGAGATATGAAGAGCACACAGAATCTGCTTTCGATGGACATTGGAGCACAGGACACTGCACAGAGCATATTTGTCCGGATCCAGGAATTCTTTTTTCCACGTTCGCCTTATTAAATGCATGAATTCCCGCAAAAGGCCAAAGGAACAATTAATTAAAGCAGAATTCCTAAAAGCGAAAGATAAGTCCAACCAATTCAACTACCTATCAGACCTGACAAGACTCCAGGCAGTACCAGGAGCCACACACACAGCTTCTTACACCCAACTTCAACTACCAGTCTTCTCTCCTTCTTCTTCTTCACCATCCATTCTTTGCTCTGCATTTTCATTTCCATTTTCAATTTTTTTCTTGTCTCAGTTTCTGTTGTGGGAATATGATTTCTCCAAGGGGTGTTTCATCCATTATTAATAAGCACCAGTACTTAAGCGCCCCCAGATTGCCCCAACAGCAAGTGAAACTTCCCTCTCGGCTTCTCTTTCTTTTATGTAAATTCCAAGAACAGCGACAGATAAGGCCTTGAGATCTGCAAAGTCTACTTCACACTACTCACTGATGGCTGATTCTGAACATTCTTCTTCTGATGACACTTACGTGGACTCTAGAGGTAAACCGTTTTGACAAGTTAATTTGCCATGTCTCACTCGTTTCTTCTCCTGTTTATTTTGCATCAGCTTTTGACTCTAGATGTAATTGTCTTGATTCTTGCAGCAGACAGTTTTCAGCTTTCAGTTAAAAAGGCTAATCTTCTTTCTGGGTTTTCTGTCTTTTTCAAGATTTCTTGTAAAGCCACCATCAATATAAGTTCGTATGTCTATGAATGATTATGGTTAATTGACTATGACCCTGCATGTAATTAATGATCCCGCCTCTGTTGTTTTCTTCTTTCATCAATCAAATCAAAACACTTTTCTTCTTTCTGATCCTATTTCACAATTTCAAGTAAAGGTATTGGAATGGAATGAATCCCGTAATTTTTGGCGGGTTTCAACTTTATTTTCAGAGTTAATTATTCAGGAACGAGACAAGTTCATACCTTTAATCTTTCATCATGCAAGGGCCTTGTTCTGCTTCCAAGAATTTGTTTTATCCTGTATATATCGTCCTGTTTATCTTGTTGGTCTTGGGTTATTTTGTGCAGAAGAGACAAGCGAAGAATCAAAGCTAGAGTTCTCTGAAGATGAGGAGACCCTTATAATTAGAATGTATAATCTGGTTGGAGAAAGGTGAGACTCTGTTTTGTTGCTTCCTTTCTGCTTGTCTTTTACTGTTGATGATTTCCTCTTTTTTAGCAAAGATAAAAATTGCTGAGCCGAAATTGTATCATTCATGATCAGGTGGTCTCTGATTGCTGGCAGAATCCCAGGAAGGACGGCTGAGGAAATTGAGAAGTACTGGAATTCTAGATACTCAACAAGCCAATGAAAGTACTAAATCAAGATGACTGTCTTATTTAGAGTGACATGAATGCTTGGCTCAGAAAATTTTCTCTAAGATATGAAGATTTTCTCACTCTGGGTTCTGTACTTAAGACCCATTGAAGTTCTGGGCCATTTCATATGATCTTTAGGAATGGAGTTTCTCCCCCTCTTTTGGTCGGTTGATCTTTGTTTGGTGATCATGGTTGGGGTAAAGCCATTGGTTTTTTTTCAAGGTTCAATGTATTTGCAAGTGTAGGACCTAAAATTCTTGATGTATATTGTTCCCTCTAGTTACGGTGTACAAATGCGTCTGCCTTTAGTGTTGTCCCTGATGATTATGACATTGTTACTCCCTTTTTTACCACTAATGTGTGCCTAAAGTAAGGTGTGCCTTAAAGTTTGAGAATATACCGTAAGAATTTATCAAATCACTTTTTCTAGTATGCCCGTGATAGCGATACGATGAATGTTTAACCTTCCAGATCAACGCATATACATGCGTGAGTTTCCTTCAATCGTATTTCGAATTCTAACCTAATGAAAGGGGCTTCAGAGTATAAGTGCAAGGTTAGAATTCGAAATACGATTTACCAAGCCAAAAATATAAGCATGGGGAAAAAAATATTGACATTATACGGAAAAAAGTAGTTATCATGGCCTTTTTTTCTGACCTACGATCTCATCGGACGATAAGCTTATCAAAAAGAATTACAAACGTATCACCCATTAACGTTTAGAAGTTAGAATGCACTATATGGATGAAGTAACGTTAGGGAATCAAAGTCCAAATCGAGTAAAGCTGTGCAAGATGGCTCACAACATTGCTCTTTTATTCGCATGCCCGTCTACTATACAAGCATTACATCCATCAACGTAGTTATCATAATTGGAAGATAACATATTGGTTGGTTGAGCAATAATTAACTAATACAGATTGTTTTTTGTATGTATGAAGATGACAATCATGTCATTTTCCCAAGAAAATGACATCACCCAAGATTGGAGAAATTTGCTCCTTGACTTTCACTAAAAGATGGTTGAAATGGTACAAAGAGAAAGAAACATAAGACATGGGCAATCTTTCAGAAGATACCAATTTTTGACCTCAGATTAGACGTACCCAGCTCAAAAGCAAAACTAAATGAGAGTACTATATAGTATAAAGTCAAATAGAAAATTGCACTCATCATTATCTTTTAAGGTGCAGCACAGAAAATAATTCAACTGGTGTTACCATGCAAAAAGCCATTCACGGATACAACTAAAACAGCATGCTGACTCGCACATATTGACATCATCGTCACCGACCACCCCATGGGGAACAAGGGCGATCCCGCAGAGAACAAGGGCTTCACAGGTGCACGAGCAAGGTAACAGATGAGGACCTGAGGTCCTCACACTCGTTTTGTATATTTCTCAACTTTCCGAACATGCTAAGACCTGAGCTAGTCAAAAGCTTACGGCCCCAAAGACAAAACCCTAACGAATCATTCGCAAAATCTGAAATGAATAAACAATGATCCGTTCCACACAACTTCAAACAAACTGTATCCATCCTCCTCCACAACAATGCATGGCAAAGAATTCAGTGCAGGTTATTTAAGAATCTTTATCTGGGAAAGGGAAGATTGCTGCACGATAGAGTCATAAGCAGAAGGCAAGTGCAGAACTGGATGCTGCATACTGAATTTTCACAACCATAAGAAACTTTACTTGTTTAAAAGGAAAAAGAAAAGTAAAGAGCTAAATGCAGATCATTCCATTCAGGAAAGCCAGATATTGCAGATCCAACGAAAATCATACTTTACAGCCTCATTCACAAATTCTTGCAAGATCTCAATAAAGTAATGGTTAGAAGTCATGCAACAAATCCGCGCTACAGGTCATGACATCCCCAAGAGAAGATCAACATGGTTCTATTACACATTGCTTTGTTTATAAATCTTGGTGTCAAGTACTTGCTTGCCGCACATCGCACAAACCCCTGCAGTAAAAAGTGAACATTACGACTTGCATCAAAATACTTGGTCCAAGAGATTAAACTCTCCAAAACAGCATGAAAATTTGAAAAATACAATATTGCAAACGCAAAGCACCTTTTGTGTATGCACAGGTGTGACAGTACTTGCCATTTTGATGCACCTGCTGCTTACAAATAATGCACTTTGTATTTCCATAAGGAGTCCACCTGCAAGCAAGTACAATCTAAAATCAAGAAAACCCTAGAAAACTAACTCGAACTGACAGAGACTTCTCTGTGTTATCAGAAAATAAAATGGTTTTAACCAATCCAAAGAATCAGTTACATGCATGGAAGAACAAGACTAACTTCATCAAACTATAGAAGTACGATACTCTTTGCCCTAATATATACTCATCGGCACTACATAACGATGTACAATATCTGTTATAGGTGTGGAATCTATTTCCAGATTTCATGAATTTCAAGAAAACACCCCAGTACACATCAACCATCCACTGACTAGCCAAAATGAATAAATTAGCAATACTATAACTAAATCCAGCTCAGTCCTTTCGCCCCCAGGTAATTTGTCTCGTCAAAATCTGACTCACAAGGCAATAAAACCACTAAAATAGAAGTGCATTCCAGCAATCATTTACGGGACCCTTAGCAACTTGAACTTGACGTATCAAACAGAACTAGATAAAGCATCCATCCTGCCCTAACAGAAAAAAACTTTCTACAAACTGATGCATCCACAACAAACATATGCCCATTCCCATCAACGATAGTCAAGCAACGGCGACGAGTTACACAGAAAAAACAGAGAAAACAGTGATATCTAGAAATGCTTCAAAAGTTAAAACGTACATTCAGAGATTTCTTCTACTTAAACATCGGGGAAAAAGTGCTACCGGTTCACAAGACAATAAAGGCCAAAAACAATTACTCCAAGAGTTGGCTCCTGACCGACTAACACGACACAGTTCACCGAATTATGAACATCAAAAACGGCTTCGATGCCGACACTAACTTGGCTCCTTCTCTAAAAAATGCCGCTTTCCAGATGACATGTAATTCTCCAAAACGCCTATCATCGCAATTTACCTTAATCAGTAATCACAATTCGCGGCAAGACCCTATTGACCTTCAAACCCCGACCCCCCAAGACAGGAATCGATACCGCTAGAACCAGAACATCTCTCTGGAAAAAAAGCCCACCACCTAGCTACAATCTCGACAACCACAGCTAGTTCGCGACAGCGCAAAACGGCTGCTCCATGGAAATTCGTCTTCCAGAGAAAGGGACAGAGAGAGAAAGAGGGGGTAACCTGGACTTCTTGGAGAGGAGCTTGTTCTCGTTGATCTTGCGGCCGCCGCCCTCGGTGGTGTTGCTGGCTCCGTCCTTCCATTTGTCCGGCACTATCACCTTCGACAGCTTCTTCTCGCCTGAACCCAAATAATTCAGACACCCAATCAGACACGACCAACCGACAAGCACGAAACCCCATCGCCGGCCAAATCAGCAGCGCGCGATCGAGATCACGCTCCGCAACCCGCGTTCTCCTCGCGAGAGCGCGAACGAATCGATCGATCTAGGGAAGGAAGGAAGGAAGGAAGGAAGGAAGATCAGAAGCTTACACTTTTCGCACACCATCTCTGCTTCTTCTTCTTCTTCTTTCTCTCTCTCTCTCGTTCTCTCCCAAGGCAGAAATCTCCCCAAATTCGAAGCCCTAATTTCGAGTCCGGAGGAGATGTCAAAGGGGGCCGAATTGGGGGGATTTTTTGCTGTCTCCAGAATTCTTTGCGTTCGGTGTTTGCTTAACGCGCTCTTCCCAAATCACGATTGCTTAAAGAATCGGAAAAATGTCGTGGCAATTTTTGTACACCGTTGTGGTTTTCCTTGTAAATCAGTGTCCGTGTCTCTAATATTTACCCGAATTCAAAGCCAAATGAAACTTAATCATGTATCGTTGGTTTGGAAGATATTTTTCGACTTTGTGCGATTTATAGCGCGAAAATATACGACGAAATGTTGCAATCGCTAGAGAAAGTTCCATAGATATATACCCTGAACATATGACGATCTCCAAAACAACACCTTGAAGTGGGTTTTGTCTCAATTAAACTAAACACCCTTGAGTAGTGAAATGTGCCGCAATCAGTCCCCTCGACTAATCAGGGGCCAAATTTCTCGAGATAGTGTCTCATTTGACTTGTCTCATATCGAGTCTCACGATTCTTTTACAGACCTAAACACTTTTTCCAATTTTATTTATATAATTCAGGACACTTTCTCTCTATTAGGGCGCGATTCGATTTATTGTTGACCCCTTTGCCATTATAGAAGCCCACAGGGAGCCGCTTCTTGTCTTTACCCCCTCAACCATCAATCCCTCCCCGCCCTAATCGGATCAAGTCATTATAGACATACCAATTTTCGCGTAGTTCATCCCCGAATCATACATCTACTAGAGGGGTTCCCCTCCGATACCGTAATATGACAACCATGGACTAACTCAATCGAAGTAATGTTTACTTTAGCTCGTTCTATACCGAGCCTCATGATTTTGTCATTTGGCGTATAAGTAAGCATTTTTCCAGGAAGTGAATCATCCTGGTAATGCTTTTCTCCTAAGCTTGTTTAACATTGGAGTTTTAATGCTAGACGATGTCATGACGTCAAAAGGCACTCTTTTTATGAGTTGATTCTAATTTCGCATATATAATCAAAGAACGCTCTTCCCATGTTCAGTGCGCAATTCAGGTCATTCCTTTCCCTTAGCCATCCTGGAAGCTTGTTGAGTGTCGCTCCTTATCCAGGCCCTCTTGTCCTGGCGATCACTCCGCTATCTTCGTTGGACGGGATTGTTACGTTCCTCTTTTAGCGTAGTAATTGTGGGTACTTCAATTGGGTCAATGCTCCCATTAGCGATAATCATTACCGCCGAGCCATTTCTATCCTACTACAAAGGACTAGGGCTGCATAAGTTTGACTTGCACAAGAGCAGGAAGAAGAGAGAGACAGAGAAGCTTCTACTTGGGGGGACAGCTAATTTCGTGGCTCAATTTACCAACATTTTTTGCTTTGGCTTTTGTTATTTGTAAAATCAAACAGTTACATGTCCTCGGAGACCAACGTCTAGACCAAGGCTAATGCCACAAGGCCATCCAGTCACACGAATCATACCCCACTCGACTATACCCCGAACCTTATAAATCAAAACTCTTTGGTGAATCGGCATTTACGAAAGAAGGTTTTATTGCGCCGCATCTATTAATAGAATAGAAATCAACGAATAACGCAACTTACAAAACGAATTACACATATTACATGGGGAAAAATTTTGGATGGATCAAAATCCGTACTAGCTGTAGTAGATCTTGCCCAATCAATCCCAAGGGCTGAGCGAGCACTCCCAAGGCAAAGTAGGGAACCTCTTGTTGTCCTGGCAATAGTCATAGATGACGAGGTTCCGCTGAACCCAAGCGTAGTCCGTCTTCTGATCGTCGGACAAGTGCCAGGCGCTGTACTGGTCCCACCAGTTCTGGGTCGTGGTCGAGACGCAGGCCGGGTAGGGGTCCTCCCACCGGCACCCGTCGAAGCCGAAGTCGGTGTAGGTCGACACGAACGGCGCTTTGGTCCAGTTCGTCTTCTCGAGCCCGCCCCGCGTGGCCCAGTCGTCGGCGTTCCATATGCTGGAGAAGAGGTACATGGGCTTCTCGTTGGGGAAGAAGTTGTTGGCCTCCCCGTTGTTCTTGTACACCCTGATCGGCACTTTGTCCGCGAAGAACCTGCAGTAGAGCCCAATGATGAAGACAGAACCTTAAAAGGAGCGTGCGTGTTTCTCTTCTTCACAGAAACTGAGATATCAAGAACTCGATCGATGTCTAGCGAGAAAGAGAGAGAACTTACACAATCTGGTGGTTGTTCCAGAGGATGGAGTAAGTGTGGAAGTCCTCGGTCGGGTCGAACCAGAGCATGTGCCTCATCTCGCGCCCGCCCGTCCCGTTCTTGTACACATTGGTCTGGATCAGATATGGCTGTCCGCTCCGATTCCCCAAGAACTCGAAGTCCAGCTCGTCCCTCTCCGGCCCTGCCCCGTCATCCGAGCACATCTGCATCGTATGCGGATCGAATCGATCATGATCGCAATCACTTCTTCGAAATATTTAGCCTTTCTGATCTTAGCCGGTGCATTTTATGGTACTCGTCGGGAAGACGGGTTTTCAGGCATCGATCCGACGAGGAAAAAGAACATGACCCAGTAATCTTTTTCTTGAATTTTTTGGCTAAGAGCGAGTGCAAGTTTCCGAATTGTGGACACACTTATTGAGAATTGGGAGTTCTAAGGACTCACATAGTAAGCAGTGACCACTCCTGCAGAGTCACCTCCCACAAGCTTGAGCTTCATGCTGAACCAGCCGAATCGGTATCTCTGCTTTGTTTGAAACCCGCAACCTGTTCAAGATCAACACCTTTGCCATCACGACACGCGTTTTGCAGATTGCAGCGTACACCGTAGCCGATGAATAAATGCGAAAAGAGATTCGGGTTCGAGTCGGTTTCGCGCGGTACGTACCTGTTTCTTTGTCCAGCGACAAGTACCAGATCTGGCCATCTTCGGAGGTCTTGAAGTGCTCTTCCGACCACATTATGTTGAAGTTGTCGACGAAAGACCCATTGGACTGCGCCGCCGCATCGGATGAGCACGGCGCAGCCAGAAGAACGAGCGAGACGCAGACGAGGATCGATAACGGAGAAGCCATTTTCTCCATCTCTTGAGAATCTTGACTGAGAAGGTCTGAAAAGGCAGAGATGAAGGAAGCTTTCGATTCCTCTGTGCTGGATCTTTGTGAGAAGAGGAGATGTATATCGAAATGTTCACTGCTTTCGTTGGAAATAAAACCATTCTGAATCACCTCATGTGTATGACCTTTAAAACCATGCAAAGAAACCAAATAAAAATGGGAAACAAAAAAAGGAAGCATAATAGATTTATTCAGCACATAAGAAATATAATATTCCTGCTAAGTTCTGCTTGTCAATGACGTGTAATACAGTTCTATTTTCTAACTAAATCAATCCTAAACTTATTGAATGGCTGCCAATTCAGTCCTAAACTTCTCAATTATACCGCTACAGTCCTAAACCTTTCTGTGAAACTCCAACGTATTTGTTCTGGCCAACTTTGGCCTGAAATTACCGACATAACGTCCGGTTATCACCCGCCCATCTTACTTGGCACGACCCACTTTACTCGAACCAACGTCCAACGTGGATTGCCACGTCGGCGATTTCCGGCGGCAATTGACCGGAAGTACGGTATTGGAATCTTGCGCAAAGATTTAAGACTACGTTGACAAAATCGAAAAGTTTGTGACTAAATTATTGATTTACAGCTGAATTGGTAAGTTTCGAGGCGGGGACAAATGAAACCAACATGGGCATTCTAGGTATCGCGGTGGATAAATTAGAAATGTCCAAAAATTCGCAGATCTACGGCATTAAAATCCAGCTGCCAATCCAGTAGACCATCATTATTTCTCATCATGGGGCCAATCAAAAATGGGGAGGATGTCCGAGGCGGGGCCCACGTGTCCTCCTCACGTGATCCCCACTGATTGGCCGCACAATAATTCCGAGACTTCTCGGGACTTTGACAACTGGATTTTTTTTGGATGTGCTGGGAGAAGATGATGCTGACTGTCAGGGATGATCTTTGATTATAGAATTGCCCCACTTGAAGGGCCAAATTGCGAAAAAATAAAAACAAAATTTTTTTTTTGATTGAATTGAATTAGTGATTAGAGAATTGCAAATTGGCTTTTAAAAACAGGGTGCTAAAAGAAGGAATTCAAACCCAAGGGGGGTTAATTACATTAATTGTCTACTCTTTTGAGGATTCTGGAGATTGGTTGGTTCCCCTTTAGTGTGGCAAGACTGTGCTTTTTTTTCTTTTTTGGCTTTTGTTTATGTTAATCAAAGAGATTGAGCTTCTTGACCAAAGAGCTTTCGCGGTTATTAAGAAAGTTACCCCGACATGCTCGTCGCTTTAATCCGTAAAGAGCTCGACGCGTTTCTAACTTATTCAACGGCTAAAACTTATCCTATTCAGGGCTTTCGGCGTAATTACAGCCCGTAGGAGAGTAGGAAAATGGACCGGCGTCATTTAGCGAACTCGATGAATTTAATGAAACAGCGAAAGGTAAAAGCCTCGAAGACGAAATATCCTCCCCCACCAAGAGCAGTTTGTGTGGAACGAATTCGTGGGTCGATCGCAATCAAATATCACTAGACCAGTTTTGTACTGATGTCAGAGCCTCGAACGATTGCGACCGATTGAATCCACGGTCAATAGTGTATGCATCGATTGTTTTCGCCTAGAAAATATGCCATAAATAAGATGGAACCCACACATGTTGCAGGCTGCAGCTATGGCAACAACAGCTCAACTCATAATAGAGAACCAGTTGTACAAGGTGAGCCGAGTCAAATTATTGCAGCAAAAGAACATCTTTCCCCAGGGAGTATCCCCCTTCCAGACACTAGCACCACGTGCAGCGCGTGACCGAGCACGTGCCCCTCCATTATGTGTCGGTGAAGCGTGTTTCCAGTTTGAATATGGCGATACAGTTATGTCTAACAGTTTTATAAAATATTAAGGAAGCAACGGTCAAAGGACGACAGTTTGGCCGAGTGGTCTAAGGCGCCAGATTTAGGCTCTGGTCCGAAAGGGCGTGGGTTCAAATCCCACAGCTGTCAACTTTGTAAATTATACTTTTTCTCCATTCTATTTTCACTTCTCTATCCTTTTTTTGTTTTGTTTGGAAGCTCTTCTTTTTTGGCCAGATTTTGTGGAAAGATTAATCTCTATGAAATTATCGATTTTCCTTGCTCGCTTCGAAAGAGAGATGCAAAAGCCAAAACATGTGTTAATTTTTCTTCGAAAAATGCTATGATGTACTGAGAAATCTTACTAACGTTTACTTGCTAAGTGATGTGGTCAATTTCAATTGAGTTTTGAAACAAGAGAAAAGCCCCTACATAAAATGATTGGCTTCTTTTAATATTCAATAAAAGATTAACACATCGCTTGATAAATGTTGTAAATTGATCTTAATATCTTTAGCATGTTACTACCTTTTCGCAGGGACCAGGAGATTAGATATAGTCATAAAAAGGATGCTTGGCTGATAAATAACAGGGGTGAGCACTAGTCTAAGGTAGACCTTGGAATCGGACCGGACCAGCACTACACGATCCAATTTACGCGGGAAACAATTCAGCCCTTGGGTCCCAAAAATTGAGAATCGGCACTGTGCAGTTTGGTTCCAGGTTCAAGATGCTAAAACGGACTGGCCAACCTTGGACCGAACCCATTTTAATTATATTTGTTATTTGTTTTGTTTTCAAGTGATTAAAATTTAGAGCAATCTTTTATGAAACAAGGAATGAAGCTCAATAGTTCATGTTTTATGTTACTTGTTTCGAACTTTGTATTGCTTATTTTATTTTACTTGTTTATCTTTTTATGGGTTATTGCTTTTGGCAAGTAAAGATTTTTGCTATTGCTTTAGCTTTGGTTTTGCTAAACTAAGGGATGAGTTAGATAATACCCTATTGCTTTAGATTTATGTTTGATTCTTAATGGTATTTGACTTTTTGCCGTTTTATTTGTAAGTATCGTAGTTCTAAATATTGTGTTGATAGATATGCCATTTGAAAAAGTAAGTTTGTCCAGGAAATACAAAAAAATGAAGCCAAAAAAAAAGGATTGGCTGCTTCCCTAGATATCCTTGAAACTGGACCGGACCAGCAGGGTTAGTCCAAGGTCTGTTTTAGAGTCTACAGGGTCAATTCTAGATTCCAAAATCTAGGAACCAACCCTATGCGAGTAAGTTGGGCCGGGTTCCAGAGTTACCAACCATGAAACTTGAAATCAACTTTGAAACTGCTCACCTCTAATAAATAACTTATTTCTTAGTTTTCGACCCATTAGTCACTACGAATGCTCCTGAACAATTTAATGGGATGGGTCTATATATCTATCTTTTGACTTGAAATGAGAGCGGGTTTGAAAAAGGATTTTAAAGTGTTTAGGGTTGGGCCAAAAGGGTCTCTTCGATCCCCCCCCAAAAAAAAATGCCTATTTCAATTTTAAGAGGGTTACGATATCGTCCATCCATTATGTTCCATCCCCAAAATCATTGCTCTTCTCAGTACAGCTTCGAATTTCATAACAAAGGGAAAAAAGAAGGGTCCTTGATTTTTAGAGAATTATTGCAAATAAAAAGGGACATATTCTTTGCTTCCCCATGAAACAATCGATCAGGGGAAGCAAGTGATCTCCACTTTGGTGTCACACTTATCTTCTTCTCTCTCACCTATCCTTTTTGTCTGCCCTAGATCGAAAATAAGAATAAAAAATCATAAAAAGAGCTATTGGAAAAGGTAAAGACGAGGCTTAAATAAAAGGGAGAATATGTGAAAGATGCCAAAGAGGGCGGTGGTGGCTTCATTCTATGGCTATTTTTGGTGACGATTTGGGCATCTTTTGTGCCTCTCCTACTTTGCGTATAAAAGCAGCTGGGGTTCGGATTCTCCACCATGCAACCTGTTCATTTACACTCCTATCCCTCCCTCTTGCTAGGGTTTGTCCCTAATTTACTCCTAAGTAAAGGGGTCACATTCATGCAAACCTATTATTTCATCTTATATCAGAATCGAGGTTATATCCTGAATCAGTTTTCACCCACCTATGCAAAAGGCCTCTTGTTTATCTAATGAAGTTTTTGCCCATTTACGATATTCGCTTGCCTTGGGAGATCATAGCGAACAATGCTTTTTGCTGGCTACTCGATAATGTCCAACCAAAAGTAAAAATAAAAAGCAAAAAGCAAATTCCGACGCTGAAAAGTCCTAATCATCTAGTTGACTCCTATCTAATAGAACAAGACTTATATCGTGTTTCTAAATTACACACGCAAGTCCATGCATGAAGCCGCTAAGCTAATCTTATGAGAAACTATCAGTACTAGAGACTACTTATGATTCGACGACATGTCACGTACTACAAATCTCGATGTATTTTAACTAATATTGCCGGAATTTATCAATTTATTGTGAAGTTTCGATTCATGAAAAGAAACGGATAACTATTTCTCGAATATTGCAAAAGAGGGGATAAAAAATTTCAAACCAGATTTTGTCTTTCCCACTGTCTAATTGGGAGCTATATTGTCATGTTTACTCTTAGGTTATGATCGTCTTTTCAAAATGGGAGGTGTGCAAAAAGGGTATGTTTGGTCACCTAATTAAAGAGGCCTTGCTCATCTTTTTCATGCCTCTCTTTGATCCCTCACCCAAGCATAAGTAACTTTATGGACCTTCCCATTCCATATATAAGTTCTTCTGCACCCTCACAACCAGAGAGAGAGAGAGAGAGAGAGAGAGAGAGAGAGAGAGAGAGAGAGAGAGATGGAAGAACAGGTTGAAATAGTAGGGAGAGCGTTTGTGGATCACTACTACCATCTCTTTGACACAGACAGAGCCTCTCTCTCTTCTCTCTACCAGCCAACCTCGATGCTGACATTCGAGGGGCAGAGGGTCGTGGGAGTGCACGACATCACCGAGAAGCTCAGCCAGCTGCCCTTCGATCAGTGTCAGCACCTCATCAGCAGCATCGACTCGCAGCCCTATTCCACCAACGGCACCGCCGGCATTGTGGTGTTCGTCAGCGGCAGCTTGAGATTGCCCGGGGAGGAGCATCCGCTGAGGTTTAGTCAGGTCACGTCTCTCTCGCTCTCCTCTATGCTCACGCGCGTGCACATAGTCCGTGAATTGACGATGGACCTGTCTTGCTTCTGCAGATGTTCCATTTGATTCCGTCGCCAGCAGGGAGCTTTTTCGCGCAGAACGACATGTTTCGTCTGAACTACGGCTGAAATTACTGCAAATTTGGAAGTGTAACTTTTGTGAAACTAACACTGATAAAAAGGATGTCCATCTATTCATCTTTCTTTCTGAAATACAAAGAAAAATTTTATGGTAAGTTCATATCAGACTAATGGGCTTGATGCGGTCGACTGGCCCAACATATATGATGACCTAAGTACAAACCTTGCAGGTGCTGCGGAAATAATGTCTCGGGCTTATTGTACCCTAAAGTTTGGGCCAACCCAACAATCACTTGTTCTTGATACATTTTTTTTCTTCCTTTCTTCCTCTTTTTCCTGTTATTATTTGGTGTGGGAGTTTATTAGTTATTTGATTCAAAACCACATTGGTCCTTTTTTCGGGACCGCAAAAATCACGGAACAAGATTGATTTACAAAATTGGTTTGCTAAGCGATGTGGTTGTCTGTTATTGGGTGTTTAAAGTGGCTCGCTTGCGTAAATGTCTCTTGAAATCCGCCACGTCACTTAATAAATTAATTTTATAAATGACTCTTAATATGTCTAGCATTGTGATGGAACTCATACTTTCGGAGCCCGAGCACAAAGTCGGCTTTAGTTTTGCGACATATGAAATAACCATCGGGCCATAACCTTAAGACATACTTGACATGGTTGGCCTCTAATGTCGGAGAAAGGTAAGGAAAGAGCATGAAATCTTGGTCGATTCAGATAGGAGTAGAATTTGATCATAAGTATATGCCCGGGCCTTATATTTTTTTTTATAAGAGTAAGGGAATAGTTGAACCATAAGTTGCGGTGCTTAAACTTAAAGAAGTGCATGTTCATGGAGGAGAGGAGGCAGTAAGCCTCACTTTTGTCTAGGGTGTACCGACTATTAGTCATTGGACACGTTTTGTGTGAGTTCGATAAGGCTGTCGATTCGTGTTCAAGTGTCGAATTCCGGTTATAAGTTCATTCCAATTTTTTTGTAATTGCAAAATATGAACTCTAATTTTGTTGAATGTACCAAAAGTTCGATGTGCTTTGAATTTAGTTAAGTTCATTCTCTTAAATAAGGATTGTTAATTTCGACACGAGAAGACACAACTTGACACGTTTATTAGTGATGAACTCCAAAATTCTGAATTGAGACTAATTATTAAGACCGGTGTAATCGGATTTGGGATTTTGAGTGAGGCATCGATTGTAATATCCTATTTCAATTTCTTAGAGAAAATGTCCTCTCTATCTCCACGGGCATAGTCTTACAACCGAATCACATAAATCTTCTAATGTGCATGTTTTCGGGCTGTGTTCTTTTCTCTACTCCCTCCAACTAGGCTTATAATTCATGGAACTGGTTCCAAATATGAATATCGCCCATGTCGCATAAGTTTGTTCCTTGATTAAAACCCATAAATCGAAGATGTCTTTCTACAGTAAGAGCCACTAGATTAGCCATGCCATGAAAGTTGTGGAAAATGGTAGATTGATTAGAGTTTCCAACAGGTTATAGAATAGAAAATAGACCAATTGGGAATCCAGATGCGTGGCCACAGTTTGAGAGCTATTTCCAATCAATCTATTTTGAGGACACGAAAGCATGTGTCCCTCGTAAAAATGCAATGATTAATGGAGATGGGGTCGTTGTATTCGCCTCCATCATTAGGGTTTAGACATTCGTTGCTTGTCCAGCAATTAAATCCTTGATTGAACTTGTATAACACAGAATTTCTTGAGTCTAACTTCCACCTAAAGAAACAATTAACGAGAAAATTGACACTTAAACTAACCTCAGTTTGGGGAAAAGTACTCCACCCATGATTGATCATAGTTTTGAAAAATCTAATCTATCCCTTCATGCATGAAAACTTTGCCCAAGACAAAATCTAAACTATGATGTACGTAACACGCAACGTACTGGGGTAATATCATCCCCTTGATCAAAGGAATGCCCACCCCATCTGATGCCTACCACCTATAATCATATACCAATTCAGTCCTAAACTTTTTGATTTTGTCAATTTAGTACTAAATCTTTGCGCGGAATTCCAGTGTAGTCCTTCCGGTCAATTTTCGTCAAAAATTGCTGACATAGAGGCCTAATCATCGCCGACTATTCTACATAGCGCATGGCCATGTCGGCAATTTCCGACAAAAATTGACCAAATGGGCTACTTTGGAATTTCGCAAAGGTTTTGAATTGAATGGAAAAATTTGAAAAGTTTATAACCGAATTGATATTCGTATAATATGTTTATGACTGATTAGACATTCACTCGGAAAAAAAAAAAAGTACAATAACCATCACCTAACTTCGACGGGGCAAGCACTAGCCATCCTCAGAGATGACCACCAGCACAACCTCCGTCTTCTCTATTGAGTCACCCTTCCCAACCTGCGTCCCTTGACCACCACGTCTGCACCTTCTCCGACGCTCTCCGACGCTCTCCTCCATCTCTTTCTTCCTCACCACCTGCACACTCAACCCTCCGCTTGTATGCCTCGTCGTTGTGACCTCAAAGCAAGATCGATCAGAGATGATCGATATCGATTTAAGATCAACAAAACTAAACCAGTTAAAGGTTTCAAGAACCAACCCAGATCGAGACTCAATCTGAGGTTTATTGCCATCACTATCATCGACGTCGAAAAGAGAGAGAGATGTGTTCGGATTGGTGATTAGGCAAGTTGGTAGCGAACGACATTTGGATACATGAGACAGACATCGATCAGTGTTTTGGATGGACACGATATGAAAACATGGGAATGGCGATGGGCCTCCCCTTCTCCGATGACACACTTGATCGGAAAGTGACATTGACATGTTATATGAAGACCATGTAGGCAAATCAATTCTAGAGTATTTCATCAAGTTAACACAAGCGTCGAAAGAAATAGTATCACGGATATAGTATACACTAATGCCATTGCCAAATAGAATTGATGATTTAGTTCTACTCAATTCGAAGGCTTTTGTGCCCTACAGTTAAAAGGCAATTGTAGGGAATAGTAATCAATATTCGAAGGATTTATGTTATAAGTAGGGCAAAATCGTCTAAATAGTGCTAAATCTTTTAATTTTGCAAATTGAATTCTAAACATTTTCATGTTTTGCCAATTAGTCCATTAGACCAATTTTTACCTAAAATTGTTCACACTACGTGGCGCGATCAATACTGATGTAAATAATTTTCAATAATATTTTAATATTTGTTTGAATTATTTATCTGTTTATTTTTTTTCCTTTTTTTTTTCTTTCTTCCCTTCTTTCTCTAGCGGGTTGTCGAGACACAGCAACCGGCCAGAGGCTCACCCTCGTAAGTGGCTGGTGGGCGCGAGCTTTGCCAGAGGCCCGCAAGGTTCGCCCCCGCCAACCACTCACGAGGGCGATCCTTGCTCGCCCCTAGCATGGTTGAGGCCTCGCCATGGCTAGGCAAGGCTCAAACTCACCGGGGGCGGATGAGGCTTGCTCAAGGTCAACCTCGCTGGCCCTCACCTCTAGCCCTCAACTTTGGCCAGTCGTTAGCCATCACCAGGGCCCGGCGACCGGCTAGAGGAAGAAGGGAAGAAAAAAAAAGATAGAAAAGAAAAAGAAAATATTTAAAAAATTTTATTAAAAATTGTCCACGTAAGCGATTTTAGTCCAAAATTGGCTAAATGGACTCAATTGGTAAAACGTGAAAAGATTTATGACTTAATTGGCAAGATATAAAGTTTTAGGATTGAATTGGCAAAAGTGCAATAGATTTAGGATTTTTTGGATAATTTTCCCCTCTAAGTAGTTGCCTATCTATGTCCATATCCACATAAATGTTCAATCTAGTGGAATTCCTAGACAAGAAAGTATGGTTATCATATCGCCATCAGGGTCATTTGTCAATCGAAACTCCAACAGCAGATCCTACGTCATAAAGCCATCAACTTTCTTGACCTTTCGATACGAATAGGCGTCAATCTCCTTAGTCCGTCTTACCACCTTGCAAAGACTAGATCTATTTGGAATCGAGTTCATATAGATAACGCATGACAAATCATGAACAGGGCCATTTCGAAAATCACATACACAAAAGCATAATTGCAAAGGGTTTACCATGTGAGTTTTTTAATTTACGGTACGACCCTTCATCACAAATTGAGATCCCGAAAAATCCCGCATGTGGGTGTATTGAAATTATCCTCTAGGATCAACAGATCTGATACTTTGTGCAATTAATTAAATAGAAAATATCGGCCCCATGTTGACTGGCATCACATTGTATATGTTCTTGGTTACATTATTAGCCGATCGATTATGCAAGCAATGTTTTTCTTCCTTTTTGTATACTTCAATGGAGGTTGGAGAGAATGTGAAGATCCTTTCCACCACTTATTAACGTCAAGGTTGATTGTTGGGCGACCGAGAGATTGCCACATTGGGGGTAGTCAGCAAGATTTAGATTATGTTTCACCAAAAGAAGCAACACCTCCTCAACGTGCTAGCTACCATCTATGCCTATATAATCTAATATATAATGGAAAAAATCCGATACGACTAAGCATTTCTAAGCTACAAAAAGAGGAAAATTATTATCCTTTACACGACTAAGCGCACCATCGAGGAGTTGTAGAAGATCCCTCGAAGAAGTCGCAAGAACTTCAGTGCATTGGATCTTGAAATTCTATGCTCAGAAGCGTTGCACAAAAGAGAGAAATGACAAGTAAATTTTTATGTACTCTCGAAACATGTCATCTCTGTCCATACAGATCGATCATTATACGTGAGTGTTGCGAATTTCCTTACTAATTACATTTCAATATGGCAATCGACACAGATGGATGAACACCCGGTGCTCCTAAAGTATCTAAAAGTCTCTCCTTCGTCCATCCTTTGGTGCTCTATCGTTACAGAGCTAACAAAGCTATTTAAATAGCATATTCTAAACAAAATGTACATAATTACAATAGACAAAGTACACTAATTTACGAAATTCGCCGTGAGCAAGTTTTCTCGATCGCAAAGCCCTCTTTACTCTTACGCATACCATCAAACAACCAATGTAGGATCCGAAGTGAAGGCACGAACAACGCACACCCGTATTAACTAGTAGTTTTTTTTAACCAATAACAGAGAATTCAAATAGAAAATAATGAACTAATTTAAAGTATACATTTGATGTAGGATCCAAAAACAATGTATGCATCAACAGATATGCATGAATTTTTTTTTACCATGTAAAAGTATCTCAATCGCTTGTTTAAGAGGTTCATATGCTTTTTATTTACATGTGGTCTCTTTTCACTTATTAACTTAAGTTTTTGGGGTCTAACATTCTAACATGGTACCAAGGCCAAGTTCTATCCATGTTTATTTTGCGAGTGTAGCCCCCCACGCCTCAAATTCCATCCGTCATTCCTAATCTAGCTTGCACGTGAGATCGAGTGTTGAAATATCTCATATCGCTTGTTTAAGAAGTTTATATGTTCTTTATATACACTTATTCTCCCTTTTCCCGTTAAATTAGACTTTTGAGTTGAACATTCTAAGACACCAACCACAGAGCATGCAAGTAAATGAAAATGCACCAATTTTATTTATCTTGCCACTTTATATATCTCGCGCTCACAAGTGTAAATGATCTAAGGATCCTGTAACCTTCTGCCATGAGAGTTTAGACATAGAGAGTGAGTTGTTCCAAGTTTCATCCAAGTTCCACCTAAAACCTATCCGTCGGAACAGGCTACTCATTTTTGGGAACCTAGAATCTACCATGTTATAGGTTCTAGGGTTGGTTTCAAGGTTTATTTGGGAACCAGCCAAATTATTATTATTTTTTCATTTTTAGTTAAACAAAATAAAAATGAATGCAACAACAAAAACACGTATTGTTGGGTGAGGCAGTGGCATGACACTGAGAAACTGAGTTGGAGTCATTTTCATTTCAAGCTGCCTCTGTTTTTGGAGCGCCATGTACAGTTGCCTTCATTAGAGCGCTTCGTCTGTGTTCTGCTATGACGACTCCTACTAACATAAGAAATTATAATAAGTTGGTCCGAAACTATGGCAGGTAGCAACTTTTGAACCATCAATGAGCGGAGGTGTAACAAGGATAATGGCAAATAGAGGAGGCTGGGTAAGATGGACTATGTAAGCAGGCTCATTAGAGCTGTGTGGGTGGGTTGTGTGAAAAAACTTCAATTATATCACTAGATATCATCTTTATTTAAGTTCCCAACTTCAAAGTTGAGGGTCACTATTGATGACAAACGAAATCATGGGTCAAAACTAAACTCATGTGGGACTGTCCCAGACCCCTAACTCTGCACTACAAAGTACAAACCACAAATATAGATGGCATTTTTCTTTAGTAATCCAGGTCGAGCTTGGCACTATGTGATGCTCAAAGTTTTAGAGCCTGGACTATTCTTTCTTTTATTCATGTTGGGTCTGTATGAATTGAAGCAGGAAATCATTGGTAACTCTTGGTGAGATGCGTACGTTTTTGGAAATTTGATCAATATGTTAACGCAACTCGGATGGGTTGATGCCGCCTACTTCTCAATGTAACTCGGATGGGTTGATGCCGCCTACTTCTCAATGTAACTCTTAGCGAGTGTCTAGTGGAGCTGATTCTTTATATAAAATCAAATTGGGTCGCAGATGCTTGCTACCCTAGAGTAATGGCCTGAAGAAGCCTGCATCTCTTGGTTTAACTTTTCATTTCATCCCTTTCCTATTCTAAGGCTTTGTCCGTTCCCGATTCCCGATTATTAGTTCTTGGTTCCCGGTCTGGTTCCGAGAACCGGAGATTCCTAAAAATGTGGAATCGGGAACCGGATCGGGTCTAATCAGAATTTAAAATCGGTTCAGTTCTCGGTTCTACCATGAAGTCATGCTCACCTTTAGACGTAGCAATAAACAAGGCATACCAATATTCCAAAAGAATGGAAAATCCAAGTTGCATTCATATTAGCCACAATTCAATACACTCTTGTAATCATGTGGCAGGCACGAAAGAATTAAAAATGGCTGCCGAGACAGAGTATATCCTGTCATCAAATCTTTATAAAAATAGAATAGGCTTATATGGTTGGATATAAATATCTTTTGGTAAGCTCTCTCTTAATTTTTCTTTTCCCTGAAAATGAATTTTCAACTATGAATTTTCTGGAATTTGCTGTTGACATATGAAACTTCGAAGCTATAGGAGAAATGAAGTCTTATTCATCCACAGCAAAGTTCATGATAAGCAAAAGCTGGCAAGAAGACTCATCAAACAACAATGTCCTATCAACCTAGGAACAAATATAAAAACGTTTGACCCTCTCATTGATTTCTTTTAGAGGAAGAAAATTGAGGAATTCATGACAAATGGAGGATCAAAATTTATCAACTACTAATCATCTCTTAATTCTCTCTTTACCTTTTGCATGATTGATCGATCAAATTTGCATCGATCCTAAGTCGATTGCACTTATCGCAATTTGGATTGTGTTGATCATAGCTTGTTCAAGTTTTCGAATTATCTTAATTTGTATGCCCTCAAAATAATAGTCTCGTGATTGGTTGTCCGTGTTTCTTACTATTACCCTTTTCTTTTTATTCTTTCATTTGTTAGTCACTAAACCAATTTTACCTTATTGTCCACATATATTGAACATGAGTTCATTCAGTTATCCATAGATCATATATATTATGAATTTTTCTAACGAGAGAATCATATTGAAAACATAAAAAATATTCCGAAGTTATGGAAAAAATTGCTAAAGCACAAATGTTATATCATCTAAGCTCTTGCGGCCTCTAATCGGATAGTTTAAATATGTGGATATTCAAGGATATATATACTTATCGAAGAAATTATTTTCTATTCGCAACTTGACAACCAAGCTTTTTGGCAAACAAACTAAAAATCCCTTTTGTCATTCGTTGATTTGAACTCTAGCTTTCAAAATTTCCCCCGTTTTTTCATCTCACAAAAAAATTAAAGATTTCAAAATTTTCCCTTTTCCAAACTTAGCCAAGGTGTCATGGTGCGATCAAAATTGGCACATATGAATACCAAAAGAGCATATAATTATACCAAAAAAATTAAGAAAAAAAGAAAGGTGGTCCTGCTGGTAATTTGGCCGTAAATATAGACTATAAAATTCGTACACTTATATTAAAAAATGGACAAGAAAACATAAAATTGCAAACTACGATGGGTCGTTGACTGTTCCAAGATTCAGACAACTGAACAACATCGGCCTCCACAATTCATCGATGAATCTGTTGTCGGTTTGCGCGGTTTCCGAGGGAGTTCATTAAAGAGCTTAAAGTACCAATAAGAAAAATAATGATAATAATAATAATAAGAAAAAAATAAGAAATAGAAAAACAAATGAATCCTATCTTTTGTGCTAAAACAAAAAATCACTCGAGTCTAAAGACATTCCCATCATGGCAAAACAGATCAACTTCATTTACTAACTAAATTTCACATTTATAGAATATATGTTGATCTTCGTATGAAAATACACGAATATTGTATAATGTTTATAACGTCAACCATCAACTCCATATACCATCATAAAAACAAAGATCTTAACAATAAGTGACAAATGTCACTCATTAAAGACGAATAATAGAAACAACAAATATATCTTTTTAACGATTTGACCGTAAATAAAAATGCCTAGAAATTTCGAAGATGGGAGCACAATTATAATCAAAGTTCGATAAAAGCACTTAGGTTATTGTTTTGAAATTTTATTTAAGGATGAGTTTAGGATGTGATGATTACTCTTTTGTAATTTCGAGCACATACAAGCTAGCATTTTTATAACGACAACACAGTTTTCTAAAACAAGTGTCCCTCTCATTGATTAGGTAACCACTTACACCATACTAAGATTTTCCAACTTGATTTTTCATAAGACTTTGTGATTAACTATTTTGAAATTGAGACTTCCTTAAAAATTCCAGACATAATACTAATAAAAACAGTAACAACGATAATCCTCCAAGTTGAGTGAGAAATCAAGAATTTTTGTAGAAATACTCTCTCTCTCTCTCTCTCTCTCTCTCTCTCTCTCAAGGTCTCTCTGTCACCAAACATCAAGCAAGGCACCTCCATCTGTATTTTAATGTCTGACTGACCTTTTCATCAATTCCTTCCTTCTTCGCCTTCACAGCCTTCTTTCCTTCGCCCCTCGTTTGGGAAGGTTTTCATGCTCACCCACCTTGTCCTCCATTCCTCTTAGACCCTCTCTCTCTCTCTCTCTGTCCAATTTCTTTTCCCTTTTTATCTTTTGAAGGAGAGACAAGAAGATAAGGAAACATGATCCAATTTCTTCATTATCTTCTCAATCTTGCATAGGCTTGACATCATTCTTCTTCCTTGTTTTGTTGGTGGCCCTTTTCTGGGTTCAATCTCCGGTGCATGCTCGCCATGCGCTGTTGACTTTTACAGAGAGGCTGTGCATTATCCCTTTGGTTTTCCATGAAAGGACACTGAGTAAGAACGATGGAAAATGAAGCCTTTTGGCCATGGTCGAAGGAGTTGGAGACAGACTCGCCTCGTTGCTGAACCTTGGCCCGCTTATTTTAAGGTAAAGCTTTGTGTTGGTGTTCTATGCATTTTCATGAGTAAAGTTTCCTTTTCTTGTCCTCCTAAACATGGCATCTGAACGTTTTCCCAAATTACGTCCCTTGTGGGAGATTCAGTAATAATCTGAGTTAATGAAGTCGCTGGAACATTCGAGTAAAATAATTGCAGATATGCTAATTTCATCTTAACTGAATGTCTCTGTTTTTCTTTGCTTTTTTCTTTTTCCAATTCGGTGACAGGGAGAGTAACTGTCTGAGGTTGGTCAGAGATAAATTAATCTCAATTTCGCTCTCCATTTTCTTCCTTGCAACTGCTGCATTGGGGCTTGCTTTGCTTGTTGCGTCTCCAATGGCCACCAAGATGAAAGGAATCTACAAAGGCTTCAAATACATCTCCCAAATATTTGGTAAAAATTATCACATCTTTCGCTCACATGGGTTTTCCTTGTCTTGTTTTTTTTCCGGGTCCCTCTCTCAAAAAGCGACGTTTTTTTAGCTTATTATGTCGATAATGCAAGATTGTATTTTGTTTGGATTCTTCTGGCACTGCTTTCGTGGTGGTGATCTGCTTCTGTTCTGCTGCAGTCGTGAAGGAGAGGGATATGGAAATTGGGTACCCAACAGATGTTAAACACGTGGCACACATCGGATGGGATGGTCCATCTGGGAGTGGACCCAGTTGGGTGAGTAAGATGATAGATAGGTGAAGCAACATTCGTTTCGCTTTCCAGCTTCTGGGTCCTTTTCCATTCCTCTGTTGAGCAATTTTTTCGAAATAATAAGAGAGGAGAACGCTTTGCTCATCGTTTATTCTAAAAGAATTTCTTGGTTATGTTGATTGATTCTCGTTTATGCTGTTGTATTGATGCAGATGACTGAATTCAAGAGTGCTCCTGATTTTTCCACTTCCCTCGGTACCATTGGTGATCCTGGTGACTCCAGCTCTGTGGCTCGTTCCACATGGTCCTCTCAAGGTTTGTTCCTAGAAAATCCTGTTTTTTCTTGTCTTTACAAGTGACTCGTTCACTGAAAAGAAAAATTTGCAACACTGTGGAAAGTGGGAAATAATCGAAATCTCAAGAGCTTCATGCCGAGTTTTTCTCTTCTCTTGTGCGTATGTTTAAGTCTAGTTGATAGAGTCATGTGGAGGTTCATAAACAGACAAGTATGAGTAGGGCTGCTTTCTTTCACGGGTCAAATAGCTCAGCCAGATGGACTTTCAAGGGCCTGTTACTAATTTAGTTATGTTATGGGGAAAAAGTTCTCAAGATTCTTTGCCTCCGAGTGCAAGAGTTTGGCTCTTCTGTCACGAGAGCATACTTCCTTCATTGAGGGAATCTGCTTCCTCTTGGCCTTGGAAATGTCTCCTGATTTTGATGGTTCACATGGCTCCACCATGTGCTTGTAAATGGTAGTAAGTTAGCTTTGATACATTGGGTTTATCATGGAAGTCAAGTCATTTTTTGTTTGCCCTAAAATCATGGTGAAACCAAAGTATATGATATAGACATTTGTGTAGTTCAAGTAAGATTCTCCATAGGACACATCAGCGCAAGTACATTGAAACCGATCTTCTTGACTAAGGTCAATTGGCATCAGCTTTAAAATAAACTGCTCATGACTGCGTAGAATATGGCAATGAATTAACTACGATGCTGATCCGCTGATCTTTACATTACATGAGTAGCACTTTTGTGTACAACCCACCCTCTTGGATAGCAGCACCATCAACATGACTAGCAGCTGCGAACTACTCGTTTGCTTTTGACTTCCCACTTCATGTATAACTTTTGTATCTCAAAGATTACGTTGGAAGCAGAAGTCATTCTGCGTGTATGTAATCACCCAACTGCTAGACGCTAAAATTTTCTCATCTTCAGTAGTTGGTTAATAGATGTGGTGAGGCATTAGCTCTTGTCGTGAACGTTAATGCTCATTGTCTTGATGTTAGCATGAACTTTTCTCTTGTAAAGGCTTATCAAAAATCATTGCAGTTAAAATTTTGTCATTCTACATCTCGCAAACTGATAGACATCTATTTCCAGTTATGATTGGAAAAATAGCAGCTAAGATATGTCCTGGTTCCTTTTAAAGAACCTCGTTGATGAAGATACTTGTAAGATCTGCAGATGTTGAAAAAGAAATTGTTGAATCTCTCAGATTCTTTAATGCCATAAGCACTTGTAGTGTTGCACATTCTGTCATATCTCCTGAAGTAAAGCGATGACTAATTTGCAAATGAATTGCCTTTCTTTATTTTGTTTCAGTTTTCACTTAAGTTTCTTGATTTCTACATTTTCCCCCTTTTTGCTGACATCCTTCGTTTTCTGGTAGATTTTGAGCAAATCATGGGACAGCAATCGACGTCCGAGATGTTCAAAGAAAATCTGCCAACAGATCTTCCGAATATCCCCAAGAAACAAAAGAGGAAAAAGAGCAAGTCGTCTTCATCCCCCAAGTCTTCATCCTCAACAAGATCCTCTCGAGCAGCAAAGTCGAAGGCTTCATTCTAGAAATGGATAAAACACCGAACCTACAACACTAGACCTGGTGGGGGTTAATATGACTAGGAAAGAACGACAATGCCCACTGATGTGCATAGAAGAACTTGCTTGTTCACTTTTTTCCGAGGATGTTTCCGATGAACAAGAGAATGTAGAAAGTCAGACAAGCTTGTGTACATTTGAACTCGACTTTTCTTTTCGATTTTACAGGGATGTTTTACAGGGATGTCGAAAAATTGGTGAGAGTGGAGTTTGGGGGAGAGGGAGGACAAGGGCAAGGGCATGACTGAGTTCACTGATAACAGTGATTTGAGGAAGTTTGCTATTGTTTATTTATATCAATCTTTTTTCTTTCTGTTTTTTCCACATTGTTGAGAGATTGATTCTTCACTTACGCTGGTGAAAGGTTCCGCAGTTGAAATTGTTGGCTTTGACTCAAACTTCAATTGGGTCTGATTCTTTGATCATTCAGGATAGGTTTCCAACAATATGAGAGAGATTTATCTCAAAATACTCACGGCCGTCAATAATATAGACATCAAACACGGTTCAATCTATGTGATCTACATCCACCGCTAGAACAATAACAAGAGTTGCGGTATAGATTGCAACCGTATTCGACTGATCAGCTTGGAGAATTCTCGACAAACTTTGATCTAATCTCGCAAAGAACTTTTCCAAAGACCCTCTAAGACGTTTAACCACCCTAATCTCTCTATTAGATTAGAATGACCATATATATTTGTTCAAACATTGAGAAAGCCCTTAATTAGGAACTCGATCTAATTGTTAATAAGCAGTCGCTATGTCGACTGGCCAAACGCCCCGCCCATCCTAGCCGAGCTCCCAAACCAATTAGTGCTGCCACCGGCGAGCCCTGAGCCTTCTCGTCCCGGCTACTAGATGCTGTCCGGGGGGTCTTTCCGATCCCTTCAAGCGTTCTCTTCTCATCCCTACTTCGTGGTTTTGTATTTCAAGCATTGCAAGTGCCTATTCAAGTTGGGTGTTCACCAAGTGGGCCAAAACTCAACAAAAGAGGGAGGGAGGAACAGAGCAATCCAGATGCCTATTTAAGTTGTTGAGTTGGGTCTTCACCAATTGGCTCCAAACTTAACCCAAAGAGGGAGGGAGGGTCTTCTCATCCCTACTTTGATAGCCTTCACGATTAAGTGGGTCAAATTTTTTTACGCAGAGAGAGAGAGAGAGAGAGGGGCAATATTTCCCTTTCATCCGTGCTTGAAAAGGGCCAATATTTTCATCCTGTCTCTAATTGAAGAAAATCGAATCTCTAATTGGTGGGTTACAAGTTATGGATATTGCCCACAAGTAAGCTAAACTAAAATTAAATGTGGGCATGCCCATATATGCAGCTTACCAATCAGAAGACCGGTTGAAGAAAACTTTCTTTAGACACGAATGGAGAAAAACACGGTCCTGGTGAAAATGGGTGATATAATCGCTCGTATGGAAATTACTTTGATAGCCTTTGGCGATTGAGGGGTCTTTTTTTTTTTTTTTTTGGGTTTTTTGTAAAGGTTAAGATGAATGGCACGGACAAAACTTAAGAATGGTAACTGTCACTTTATTATTTTTCACTAAACAGATGTTTATTTATGAGGTTTTTCGTAGAAAAAGAGGCATGATTCTCACTCGGAATATGATTTTGCAGCCCCGACTTTTCTGTGGCATCAAAAGGCACTACACTGCTCATAAAAAAAAGAGGCATGATTCTTGAAGGTGCCCTGTTTTGTTGTGTTGCATAAAAATGGCCTACTTTGGTACGAGAAAATTCTGGCCATACCTCAAATTTCTGTGACAATGTGGGCATGTGGCATGTTGGTTGTGATGGTGATGATGTAGAATTGATTGATTCGATTATGTGTGGTTGGAGACGTCTCCAACTAATTTAGATAAGCTATTCGATTTCACGCCCCTTTAAAGGATACGTTTGTTTATTTTTTAAAAATGACTTGTTGTATCTCTTGAAAAAATTAGTCAACGGAAAATGTTTTCATCATCGACAACTATTTATGCTTAATTATTTTCATTCATTCATTTTTATAATTGATACAAGTAATTATTTTTCGGGAAAATGCTTTTCAAATCTTAAGTTTTCCGGAAACAAACGCACCATAAATATTGATGATCGTTCTCATATAACGGTGATTATTACCAGCACGGCAGTCCATCAAAAACATGGCACCATCGAGAATTCGTTCATGAGCCTGTCGATTTCCCCAACATTGGTGCATGCATATCGTGGTGAAGTCAAGATCAAATTGACCCAAAAAGCATCATTCGGTATTTCCAAACGTTTTACGCGAGAATGGCCATAAAAGGGACAAAAGCAACAGATCAATCAACTCACGAGTTTCACGTTTCGCAATCAGCATTCGTCTTGGGCGAGGAACTCTCGACACGACGCTGCCGTCCCACGTTAGCCATTCCGACAGTGGAGGGGCACCAACTCACGGAGATAAAGTCAGGAAGGTTTCATTTTCAGACGACGGATGACGCGTGTTTCACTTTTACTTGTGTCCAACTAAATTCAATCTCCTTATATTCGATGACGAAAAGGGTATGAAGGATTTCGACTTCACTGGCCGTGTGAGAAATATTTTTCACACCCTATGTCAATCACTGGTTCATATGGTAGTTCTATCCTAATGAGAAATTTTTTTTCACATCCTATATCAATCGCTGCTTGATACGGTAGTTCTATCCTGATGGCCTAATTCCCTAAAATACCCAAACTTTAGATATAATCTCCCAAACTTTCATTTTCACTCTAATCCTAAATCTGCTCATGCGTCCTAAACTTTCCCTTGAATCTTTGGTATTCGGTTAAGAGGTAACATCATCAAATGAAGGGAATTTTCACTGCTGCAAGGGCCTCCGAGGCCTGTTCGTTCGATATACAGGAACGGCGGGCTCCACAGATGCATTCTTTATTTTAAAGTGCCTGTGCCCACACGCCTCGCACTCTCAATTCTCCATGTACCTTTGTTTTCTCCTGAGAAATACCTTCTAGATGTTTTACATCTTGGTGATCTTGAGATCAGGACGAGGACCGAGATGAAGCATTTTAAGGTCTTGCTTAGGACTCGAACTTCACAGACCGTGTGAGAAAATATTTCACATCCTATATCAATCCCTGCTTGATATGGTAGTTCTATTATAATGGCCCAATTCCCTAAAATACCCCAACTTTAAATATAATCCCCCAAACTTTCACTCTAGTTCTAAATCTGCTCACGCGTCACAAGATCACAATTAGTTTCTTCAAAATTATCGGTATCAGGGCCAGTCACAGTTCCATTATCAGAACATGCATCATCATCAATACCCCTATCTTTATACGGAATAACAACAGCTTCCTAATGTTGATGATCTCAAAGAAACAAATGGCGATTTTTGGACGCGTTGGCAGATTGGAGAACTACCGTGAAAATTGAATTTCTATCTTTTAAACAAAACTATAAGCTCGGGGCAGAACTATGATTGCACCTAAAGTTGGGGGGGTTTTTAGGGAATCGGCCCATTTTATACGCGAGTTAGTAACTACTTATACCAATGGTGAAGCATGCATTTGGAGTAAGAAACAAAACAGTTGCGCATTATGTGTAAAAAGAACAAAAAAGGTGATGTAGAAAGAAATGTCGTTCAGGCCGGGACGAGCTTGACAAGTCGGGACGGAACTAGAAAGTCAAATTGATTAGGACGTGGGATGGAATGGAAAGTTTGCCATTAAGAGCCAAGGGCCATGCCAAACCACCATGTTTTGTAGTTGAGCTCGAAGGTCGGGTCTCGGAAACGATGATGTCGAACTTCCATAGAGGGAATACTCGAAAGTGATGAGATTCTGAGATGGTTCCTCCTAATGAATTTCCTATACAAACTGAGCCACCCATTAGTGATAGGTCTTGAGGTAGCAAAGAAAAGCTTTTGTGACCGCGCAAGAGTTAACTTTTCGTATCGACGAATTTTCGGATAAGGCTATATTTTGAAATCGTGGCGATTGTAGTATAGACACCCCATCTTATTCGAGATAATTACCAAAAAAAGTTATAAACCTATTGTACGGACGTCAATTAAGTCATATACAGTTTAATTTGATCAATTTAGTCATCACGTTTTGATGATTTGGCAATGTAATTTTTCCGGCTAAATTTGGCTCGAAATCGCTAACGTGACGATCGAGTCGGTAGAGGCAATTCTACATGGCACGGCCGGCACAGATGTGTACAATTTTACAATTTTTTTTTATATATTTCATGAATTTTTTTCCTTGTTTTCATTTTTTCCCTTTTCTTCTCTTTCTTGACATGGACCGCCACATCAGTGATTTTTTACCACAATTGGCCTAAAGGATTACAATGGCAAATCTTTAAAAGATTTATGACTAAATTGACAAAATTTAAAAATTTAAAACTAATTTGACTACTATATAATAGGTTAAAAACTTTTTTGATAAGTTTTCCTTACCTTATTTGCGTCATTTCGGTGTAAGTACTCGGTACTTTTGGCAGAAGCTGGGTACAAATTCATGACTAATGAGCTCCACAGATGCCCTAGTTTCTTTCTAGAGTGTGACCCGCGGAGTTTCTTCCTTTAAACGTGGAACACTCCAATATCATGTCAGGAAAAACACTTTGGGCGGTCCTAACTTCGTCTACGTGCATACAGAGAAGAAGAAGATGGGATCCTCGTACTCGAATGTTTTGGAAGATGGTGTCCTCTCATTGATCTTGACAAATTCTTTTCCTCTCTCTCTCTCTCTCTCTCTCTCTCTCTCTCTCTCTCTCTCTCTCTCTCTCTCTCTCTCTCTCTCTCTCTCTCTCTCTCTCTCTCTCTCTCTCCTTGAATAGAAAGATAATGTAAAACATTATTGATTTACCTAAATTGAGGCATTTCATAGAACGGGAGTATTTTATGGACCCGATATGGTGCACATAAGATGAGTTTTATTGTAAGAAAGATATAGGACATTTGTGTCATCTATCTAGACGTTTTCTTAAGAATATTACAACTCAATTCCCAAAATATTGACTGTATATATCACGAGAAAAGTCTGTACATGAAAATCGTATAAGTTGTCTTTGTCGACCGCTTAATAAGTGTCCCCATGTGGATTTCACATGATCCGATGATGCACATGAGCTTAGTCTGATTGCACCCGATGTGGCTAAGTATCTCTTCATTGTTCTGACGTTTATATTCATGAAAATGTTCTATCGTATGGCGACGTCCTCGTAATATGTTTGGAGAAGTAGAAAATGAAAGGAATATGTTCACTGAAAGTCCTAAAACTTATCACGAAAGTGCATTTGAGTCCTAAAACTTGCAAAAAGTGTAATCAAATTTTAAAACTGTCAAATTAGTTCAATCGAGTCCTAAAGTCAACTCCGTCAATTTGGCTTACAGAAAATGTTGATGTTGCTTTTTTATATATTTTATCCTATGTGGTGATGACGTGGATTTTTTATTATTATTTTAACAAATTTTATTTAAATTAAATTTTAAAAATAAGCTATATATATAAAGGAGGAGGAGGAGAAGTCAGGCGGGGAGTGCTACAAGCACTCCTGCCACCGCCGCCGCCCCACTATCATCGGAAGGGGTCAACGAGGGTGGGCAACGGCAGGCGAGGGGTCACAGCCCTCGGCCAAGTCTGTGGGCGAGGGCATCGGAAAGGGTTGCCGGCTCCTGGCCAGGGCCCGTCGACCCCCACTTGCCGTCCCCCACTCTCAATGGCCCTCCCAACGATGGTGGGGCGACAGTAGTGTTTTCTGTTAGTAAGTTAAACGGCGTTAACTTTAAGACTCGATTGAATCAATTTGACAAGTTTTATGACTTAATTGCACTTTTTGCATGTTTTATAACTCAAATACACTTTCCTGATAAGTTTTAGGATTTCCAGAGAACATATCCCAAAATGAAATGACCAAAAATCAAGATGCATAAACATATGATGCTTTGAAGTTTGAATGTGTGTGAAAAGTGGGACAAAGAAGGAGAGAGTGAATGTAGCTGTTCGAATTAAACGAAGAAGAGTGGAAATGGGAAGGAGGAAAAACAATCTCCGATTGATTTAATAATATTCAAGCAAGGAGTCATTAATTATCATTTTTCAATTAACGAAAGTACATATTATCATTCTTCCAAAACTTTGGACAAGATTTTTGAGATTGAAAAGATAAGGCAAAAATTTCTAAATGACCCTACATATCCTGTTCTTTGTAGATTTTGAAAGATTTTAAGTGCTCAACGTATGAAGAAAAAATATATAAAATAAAAGTCACACCTAACAAATAAGCATGCCATTCTTTTTTGGAGTACATAATATTATATATGTGGAGGTCCGGCTATCTAAAGTCTCAGTTTATATGCAGTTTGTGAAATTTGAATGAGAGATCTCCTGAAGTGACGCTCCAACCAATTAAAACAACCCTAAGAGGTTGATACATTTCCTTCTTAGTTGTCCTAAAAAGTTGAAATTGCATTATTAATACTTTAAACTTTGGAAGATATCTAACATTAAGGGTGAGGTTGATACATTTCCTTCTTAGTTGTACTAAAAAGTTGAAATTGCATTTATTAATACTTTAAACTTTGCAAGATATCTAACATTAAGGGTGTCAACGAGCTGGTTCGGTTCGCATCTCCACTGATATCTACCCCGATCCCGACATGAAGGGTGTATGTTTTTTTGTGACCCCACCCGCATAGAACCCAAGCCCCCCCAAAAAAAAAGTTAGGATCGGGTCGGGTTATCTTCCAAGCTGCGTACACATCCTTGATTGTCTCAGCCCAAATATTAGCGACACGGTCCAACAACATTCCCACATGTTCAATTCAACTCAGACGTAAATTCTTTTCCAACCCTTTGACTTGGATTTCCACCGGATAATGTATGGCGAAAACGGGATGATAATGCAGACACATGGCGTGAAAAATTTGTCGTCTTTGAAGCTGATGTCCTGTTCTTCTTCAACCAAGAATGTAAAATATCTTAAACTTCCTCGTGCTTGCTCCACTCTTTACCGATGCATTTCAATGATAATTTCATGGCATATTCTTTGATATGTTGGCTGACCAACCATGACGAATGGCCAAATGTTTTCTTCAGTTCTTACACCTTCGCAAAAGCAGACTGCAGATGCATAGAAATATAGTACACGCAAACGGGGAACAGGTTATACAAGTGAGATAATGAGTCTTCAAGATGGGGAAAAATGTCAAAAAAGTCCTAAACTTTCTGTATTTGTGCTAATTTAGTCTTAAAAAATTTTTTTGTGCCAATTTAATCATAAACATTTTGAACTAGTGCCAATTCAGTCCTTCTGGCTAAATTTGGCCGGATTTTGCTGACGTGAATAATTTTTAATAATATTTTCATATTTTTTCGATTTTTTAATTATTTTTTTCTTTTTTTCTTTTTCTTTCCTCCTCCCTTCTTCCCTTTGCCGGTGACCGGCCACCGGCCATGGCCAGGCGGGCTGCCCTCACCTGGACGAGGGTCACCGTCACCCGGCCAAGCCAGGCGAGGCCCGGCGTGGCCTGGGCGAGCCCTAGCTAGGCTGGGCAAGCCCCGGCGAGGGCCGGCCTCGTCAGATCTGGCCTGGGCGAGGCCGAATCCCTCCTGCGCGAGGGCGAGCCGTGGCGAGGGCTCAAGCGTCACGCTGGCCTGGGCAAGCCTCGCGCTAGCCGGCAAGGGCGAGCCTTGTCCAGTTTCCAACGAGCCTCACCGTCGCCGTCGCTGGCGAGGGTGACCCTCGCCAGTGGCTGGCGGGGCTTGCCAGAGGCCCCCTAGCCTCCAGTCGGTCACTGCCGCCGAGATCGGCTGGAGGAAGAAGAAAGGAAAAAAAAATAGAAAATAAATAAATCAATAAAAAAAATATTAAAATATTATTAAAAGTTATCCAAGTCATCGCCGGCGATGCCACGTAGATCAGCCGGCGTCCACGTCAGTAAAATCCGGCTAAAATTAGCCGGAAGGACTAAATTGACATAAAGATAAAAAGTTTAAGACTGAATTAATACAAAAAAAAAAGATTTAGGATTAAATTGATACTAATGTAAAAAATTTAAGACTTTTATGACACTTTTCCTTTGAAGGTTAAACGTTTCACGTGTATAGCCTGTTAAACGGGGTCTTCAAGATGACCAGGAACAGGTTATACACGCAAAAGCATCTATCCTGAAGACTCGTTCAGGAACAGGTTATACACGTGAGCAAACATCTCCCGTGTTAAACGTTTGATTCTGGTCATCTTGAAGACTCGTTCAGAGCTCGGCCAGGAGTGGATAAATGCTTACCTGGAAAAGGAACACTTTTAACACGTGAGATGTTTGCTTCCGGCCGTGTGACCCCATAAATAGGAGCTTTGAGGCAGCACCTGAGGATGACGACAATTTCCACATTGCTTTGGTTTAAGGCCGTTCCTTTGAACGAAGCTCAAGTTTTGCTCGAGCACAATTGATGTATGTGAAAAATGAATGCCTGTTGAGGCGCTGAGAGAGCAGCATTGATGACGAGCATTACAATTTGGCTATAAACGCCGAGCCAAGATGGAGAATTTGATGAATTTATATCTCGAGTTTTGAACCAGCGTTTTTAATTTGGCTGCTTTCGGATGAGGGGCTCCCGGCAGCACAAATAGAGAAATAAAGAAGGCCACTAAAAGACAAAAAAGGGTTATATTTGCTTTCGTTTCTACATCCTGCAGAAGCCGGCAGAAGTGGCGTACGAAAAGTGGACTCTCGCCATACGTATATTTATACGTTGCTGATCAGTAAAAAGGGTTCTCTTTTGAGCGAGCCGCCCAAGCCGAGAGTCGTCCAGGAAGCCATCAGAGAAGAAGCGCCGCACGAGAACAAAAGAAAAGAACGTACGGATGTTCTTGGTTTCGATCGTACGATAGCGTTTTGCTTTGGGCTTCAACACGCACGCAGTGATTTGTGCAGTGAGTTTATATTTCGTCCAATTTAGTTGTTTATTCGTAAATACTTTGGGTTTAAGCTTAAATTTAAGTGTGGAAAACGCTATAGTAGAGTATTTGTTACTGGCTCTCCCCATAGATGTAGGTACCGATATTCGGACCGAACCATGTAAATCTCTGGTGTCATTTATCGTACCTCGTTTATTTATCTGGTATTTTCGCATTGACTTAATTTGCAAGACCTTATCGTTTCCGCGTTATATTTCCAACAGTAAAAGAGCCTATCGCATGGGGCCTTAGAATCTTGAATCCTGGATAATAACATGCATCGATGAATATGGAAATTTATCCAAGCGAATCGCATTCCGTAAACGGCTCATCAGATTCGAATTTAATGGGCGTTTTTTTTTTGCGATCAATCCACGAATGTACGGTGTACACACCACTGCCCGTCAGATCAGCTAAAGGGATGAGGCCAGATCACGGAGAGAGGCCTCTCTTTTCCGAGCGATCATCGGTGAGCCAGTGCATGTTCTAAAGCTCACGTTTTCTCACGTTTTCACGTTTTCTCCTCCGTTCCTTTACGAGTGTTGTCACCGCCCACCTCACAATCACCTTTGGCTCGTGACGGTGAAACAGTCGTGCGCAATTCGTCGAGAGCATGCACGCGCCTTCTTCATCATGCATGCACCAAGCAAGTCCTAGCCACGGACTGAGACTCTCGGAAAGAGACCGCAGCGCCATCCACTTATAAAATACACACGTCCACCAGCTTTCGTGAACCTCATCATTCGTTCACGTAATAACTCCCAAGCTGCTTTTACTTTTTCACTCTTCGAATTCGTGTTCTCCATTCCATGGCTGCAACCATCAAACCTCATCTCCTCCTCACCAACGAAACATCATTTGCCTGTCCCAAGCAGTCGATCTCGAGCATGAAACGAGCTGAAAGTAACAACTTCGCGGCTCAAGCAGCTGCGAAAAGCGGTTCGAGAGCTTTGATCGTGGAGAGGCCGTCGAGTGGAATCGAGTTCGACGCGGTTGGGAGAAGAAGAGAGAGCAGAGGCAAGTTTGGGATTTACGGAGGGAAGTTTGTGCCTGAGACGTTGATGAGTAGCTTGGGCAAGCTTGAAGCTGACTTCAACTTTGTTCTCCGTGATGCTAAATTTCAGGTTTGTTTTTTTTTTTTTTGGTCAGAAAATTTCAGGTTCGTAAGAAGACAATGTTTCTGCATGAGGTCCTTACCAAAAAAAAAAAAAATGTTTCTGCATGTCAAGAAACATTAGAATTTCCAAAGAAAAGAACAACCATGTTTTCCTCCTATCGTTATTGCACTTTTGTCAATTCAATACTAAACCTTTTAATTGTGCCAATTGAATCTTGAACTTTTTCACGCTGTGCTCATCCGGCCAATTTTTGCCGGAAATCGATGACGTGAACGCCGGTCGTCCTACGTTGGCACGGCCGACACTAACATAGACAATTTTTAAAATTTTTAATATTTTTTCGAATTTTTTATTATAGGCAAGGGCTAGCCAACCCTAGCCGGCCATTCGAATTTTTCATAGCCCTTGTCAACAACGAGGGAGGGTCGTGGCCCTCGCCAAGCTCAGCCACGTAGGATGGCTGGCGTCAACGTCAATGTTAGCGATTTCCGGCCAAAATTAATCAGATGAACTCAATTAGCAAACATGAAAAAGGTTTAGGACTTAATTAGCATGATTTAAAGGTTTAAAACTGAATTGACAAAAGTATAATAGGTTTAAGACTTTTTTGGTAATTTTTTCCTTTTTTTTGTGATGGGTGGCCACAACTATGGGAGAGCAATTATGGTTATCTAGGTAGATGTATGAACGTCACACATATTATTTGAACTGCGATTGACAAAATTGTAGGCGGAGCTGGCGACAGCTCTAAGGGACTACGTTGGAAGGGAAACACCTTTGTACTTCGCGGAGCGGCTCACCAACCATTACAAGAACGAGAATGGAGAAGGACCGGACATTTACCTTAAAAGAGAGGATCTCAACCACTGCGGTGCACACAAGATGAACAATGCCATCGCGCAGGCGATGATGGCCAAGCGCATGGGCCGGCAAAAGGTGGTGGCGGCGACAGGAGCAGGCCAGCACGGCGTCGCGACCGCCGCCGCGTGTGCTAAGCTGTCTCTGGATTGCACCATCTTCATGGGTTCCGAGGATATGGAGAAACAAGCTGCGAACGTGTTTTTAATCAAGCTCCTAGGTGCTCAGGTTAGCATATTCTTGCGTGAACCGGTTTCGTAAATCGATATTAGCTTTTACGCAAGTTGTCCTGGATGGATTTCTCAGATAAATTTGGAACTTTAAGAGAGTGGATTGTTCTAGCAAAGTTTTCTTTGAAAACGAGCAAGTGGAACCGTCCAATGAAACATACAAAAACATTTCAACTGAGCATTGGCTCCTTGGTTAGACCCCATCAATTTGCCACCAACATCAACCAACCAATGAGTTGGAAGTCACAAGACCCAATTCAATCTTCCCACAACGTTCAAACTAGGGTTGATTTTGCAGGTGACCCAAGTGGAGGGGAGCTTCAAGGATGCAAGCTCTGAGGCCATAAGGCAGTGGGTGAACGACTTGGAGGGAAGCTACTACCTGACAGGGACGGTGGTGGGTCCACACCCATGCCCAAGCATGGTGAGGGAGTTCCAGTCCATCATAGGGAGGGAGACGAGGAGGCAGGCGATGGAGAGGTGGGGAGGGAGGCCGGACGTGGTGGTGGCGTGTATCGGGAGCGGCTCCAATGCGCTAGGGATCTTCCATGAGTTCATTGGGGATGAGGATGTGAGGCTGGTTGGCGTGGAGGCTGCTGGGTTTGGCCTGGACTCGGGGAGGCATGCGGCCACCCTGGCCATGGGCCAGGTTGGGGTCTACCATGGAGCCATGAGCTACTTGTTGCAGGACCAAGAAGGCCAAGTTCTTGGTGCCCACTCGGTTGGCGTCGGGTAAGATTGCTCTCCATTCCGACTTTCATGCTCTCCATTTCCGACAAGTAACGAGAAAAATAGGAAAGAACCAAACCCATGATCATTCATATCGTCGACTGCAATTACCAGGCTACAGTATCCAGGAGTCGGCCCGGAGCTGAGCTTCCTCAAAGACACAGGAAGAGCAGAAATTTATACCGTCACCGACAAAGAAGCTCTAAATGGTAAAACAATCGACCCCACACCACATTCTTTATGAAGCCGCGAAAATGAAAAACGATCCTCATAAGTTCATGTGATATGTTGTTTTTTGGTTGCAGCATACCAATTGCTATCCAGATTGGAAGGTATAATCCCAGCAATGGAAGCTGCTCACGCATTGGCGTATTTGGAGAAACTTTGCCCGACTCTCCCCGATTCCACAAAGGTTGTGGTGAATTGCAGTGGACGAGGAGATAAAGACGCACCTTTGTTCTTTCAACACCAACCCACCCTCAACGCACAAAACTAGCAAGCCGTATAGAAAGTGTAAATGTAAGATTGCGTGATCTCCTTGTCAATGTCATGGCCTTTAGGATTTGGAGAGAACCCGACCGCAGTTATCTCATAATTTCTACTGTACAACTATAATCCTGTATGAACACTGCCGTTGGTCTAAGTGCTCCAAAGGCATAAAACGAAATCAACACTAACCATTGACAATCACATTGAAGGAGCAATCATCTGCTTCGCGCGAGATCTTTCCAAACAAATCTGAAAACGTTACTGGTCATTGCCTATATCAAGTTAAGCATCACCATACCGGCGACAAAATATAAAATCATGAAGTTGATTACTAAGCCACATGATTCAATCAGGTGTCGCTTCCCTCTGGGGACGGATCTACTGATAAAAGATAATAAGCTCACTAGTTTGGCGAACAAGCCAATACTAGATATTCCAAGCATGAGGAAAAGAAAAGAAAGGAAAAGCTACCCTGCAACTACCAAATGACTCCAACCACCAAAGAGGAGGGATTGCCTCCCATTTTCTTTTGAATAACAATACTTTAACCCACAGAACTTTTCCATGAAATCCTCCAATACAATTAGCATTAAAAGATGTGGGCCGTTGTTCACAGTCTTCTCGTCGTCGTTTTGATTGTCACGATCTGAAAGGATCGTCATAAAGTAAACATTGCGAGATGATTGCGACCTTTTACTATGATTGCCATGGTACAACTTGAACTATACATGTACAAGATTGCTCAGCATGAAGCCTATCTCCCATGCTTCAACACTACAGTAGAATAAGATCAATGACCGAACAAACAGACGGCATTACAGAAGACAGAGAGACTGCTCTGATTAACTTCGCAATCGTTTTCTTTGACTACCCTCTTCGGCATTTCCCTGCACAGAGGAAAGCAAAGAGAAAAAAATGTCAAATTCCATTTCTTCACTTAAATCATAGTATGAACAGGTTATCAAACTTAAAAGAAATGTATCCAAAGTCTTATTGTAAGATGCAGCAGATCGACTGGTTATCACGGAAGATAACAGATACATATTTATGCATCTTATCACAGCATATAGGAAGAATTCCACTAATTGCATGCTGCTAACATATTCACACTCTCTAGCCACATCAAGCAAAAAAAATGTTATTCGAAGAAAAGAATATGAAGAGCAATTGCAGAACAAGCATCATCCTATCAATTGAAACATGAGCCGAATGATCATGGTTCGAGCATGGCAACAACATAAAATAGGCGAAAAGGAAAACCAATTTTCGTCAGGAAGGCAACTTACCCCTTCATCTCTGGAAAAATTTCCAGGGGATACTTCACTAGATTCCGACCGGCATTTAGCATGTACAATAGGACCTAACTGAGACCTATCCATTCCAGCAGTTGAACCATCAGGTGCATTCATGTATACAGCTCCTTTATACATCCATTCTTCTGTCTCATCACTATAGAAATCATCAAAAGGTTCCCCACACAATGCACATGCATTTTGATCTTCATCAGCAGGAACTGCCATTTCTTCATCGCTCTTCTTTTCTTCAGTGCTCTCAGCAGGCAAAAACCCAGGAACTGCCTCAGCTCCCAATGCCTCTGCGCCACTGAGCCACATGCTCGTACTTACAAACCATTTCCGTGAAGGTTTCTGCTTGCGATTCTTAGACATTCGGTTCTTGGTCACATGCCAGTCCATATGGCTACTGTGCTCTTCTTGAAACTTAAACCTCAAGCCACATGTCGTACATTGTCTTGGGAGATCGTCGTATAGAGCTCTTATTGCAGAATCATGACGAACTTTCAGAAGGTCCATGTTAAAATCAACACCAACAGAATCCTGGATATATTCAAAATCCATGTTTAACGTCAACAAACAAAAGATAGAACCAGCTACAAGTAAATGACATTTGAACTATTACCTGTACAGGCGTCTGATTCGTTACTGAGATCAACCCTTGAGCCACGAGAGAACTGATTAAACCAGAGTACCCACTTCCGCCTAAATTATTAGGTAGAGCTGCAGTGGGAATATGTGACATTGGTAATGAATGCAACGGGACGGGAGGAGGACCTGGAGGCAGGGGAGGCAAGGATCCACCCTGAAAATGCATCATGTTGTTTGGAATGTTTTGGATTGGTAAAGAAGATTGTGCTATTTGCAACAGATTTGCTTGCACTGAGGATACAATTGGACGGTGGCCTTGTCCTGTAAGCCCATAATTTAATCCAGGTGCTACCATATGAGATGACACAATTGCTGCAGAAGATGGGATAAGTTTTTCTTGAGCCTCCTGAATAGGGAGAAACTGAGGTTGAAATGGAGTATTTTGCACTTGGTTCTTTTGCTGATTCAGTGGCATGAACCCACCATGATTGCGTACTGATAACTTCGTAGTAGGATGTAGCTCCTTGCCATCCAACTTATCAAGTTTCTGTTCAACCATAAGCAAAGGGTGATTTGCACCTTGATTTGCAACAGTACTAGGACCTGAAATAATGACCGAGCCAGTAGACTGCTTCTGCAGGGGAAGTACAGGCCTAACAGGAAGGGAGTTAGACTTATGCACATTAATTGCAGGCCAAGTGCCAGTTGATGTGGGAAGATTGGCGGAATAAGTGGATTCAAAAGCGGAAGAATCCATCCTGGGTGGGATAGTCCTGTCAACTTGTTCAGCAACGGGAATCTTTCTGTAAATCAATTTCTCGTCACCTACTGGTACACCTCCAGCTGAAGACACTGTATGTAAATTGGAAAGTCTTCCCCTATTAAGGAATTGTTGGGAAGTGTGTGTTGACAAGTTCAATGGTTTCTGAGAATAGCGGGAACCAGGAATTTTATTAGTCTCGCTTTGAAGTCCAGGCATTTTATGAACTGATCCAGGACCGGACTGCACAAGTATTTAAACTTTCAAATGTTATGAAAAATAGTAACTCTTCACAGACAGTTCCAACAGAAAATAAATCACATACAATGTAACTGCGGTACATGGTAAAGAGCAAATTATCCCAATTTTTTACATGATGATTCCAGCTAATATGCAAAGAAAGAGATTGGCAGTTGATTTAGGAGCTGCTATAGTCGTGGCAAATTTCTTGAAAACATATGTGAGAGATGGAGACCGGGTGAAAACTGCGCATGCAAGTATGGATCTCTGTGGGTAGGTTGGTGGTACCAAACCAAACACATGCCTTAAGTTTGTTTCATACGTTAGTCAGGATGCATGCCAGCGATATTTCAAGAACAAAATCTTTGTCAACATGAGCAGTGATACAGGAAATGAACAGAACAGCAGTATTGCAACCTAACACAGGATAAAGACTGAAGAGGATTATATCTCAAACTTCCAAAATTTTAAAGATGAAAAAGCACTAGGCAAAGCTGAGATCAAGGTCATAAGAGCATACCATAATAGAGGAATCATCTCGTGCAGGTGCAGGAGGCCGACTAGAAAACCTGCCTCCCAACCTAGCCCTTGACCCGCCATAAGTTTGAACGGATGATTGCACTATATCGTTACTTCTACCACGATCTGCCAAGCTGCGGTTCATATCTTCCCAATTGAACTCCTGCTCTTCTGTATCTTGCCATGACATGGGAGCCACCTTTCCTCTGATGTCCGAGTGCTCAATTTGGTTGGGCTTATGGATGGAGGTACTTTTCCTCTTGTCATCTCCATATGCATCAATCAGTGCTCTAGGATTCATATGATTGCGTCCATTGGTGAGGTTCATTGCAGCAGAACTTCCCAAACGCTTTCGACCAACATCGAAAAATTGATTCCTTTGCCAATCATTTGACTGATCCTCTCTACCTACCGCTCTTGCAAGGTCATATTCAGAGGCAGGGTGAGATGGAGATGCCCTGTCAAAATTCCTCAACGTGCTATCAGCTGGAAATTCATCTATTTCTGCAGAGAAAGTCATATCAGCCCCTCTTCTCAGAGGGGACAAAGACCTTGTAAAAGCAGCATTGGAAGATGGATGAAGCTTATTCGCCCTGGGGGGATAGGATGAACGAATAATGTTTTCCGTCGACCTCGACCTAGTAGCTTCACCTCCAACCTGTGAAAATAAAAACCATGGTCAGATTCTCACACACTCTTGTGCACACACACTGCATTTAAGCATGTCTTCAGCCATTTAAATCAGAGGAGCTTTACTTCCGAAGGCATTAGCAAGATGAGTCGTTGTCTCATTTTATTTTAACTGTTTAACCATCATGAGAATGTCCATGTTGGTTCATAGTTTTGAAAGCTCCTGCCTGGATGCTGAATCCACAGCACAACAACCTAACACCTAATTGACCCATCTAAATATTTTTAGATACATCTACATCCAGTTTACCACTATCAGTACACCACGCAGATGTCCACAATCACTCCTGCAAAAGTCTGCAGACACATGGTGAATAAAAATAGCCAGCCTCTGCAACTTCGTATAGTATACTTCCATAATTACTTGATGGAGAACTTGATCAATGATAATCAAGACTAGCTAAGTTTTACCTCCCAAAATCTATGTTGCACCGACACGCACGCGTGTCGACGTGTCCGACACCGACACGTTGGCCATTTTCACGTGTCGGTGCAACATAGCCCAAAATCATATGATTTCCAACCTAAAAAATACAAAAAGAAAAAGCTGGGCCACGCAGGTGAAAACCCTGGAGATAAGATCTAGAGTACCACACGAAGAGTGACTAGGTAAAAGTGATCCAATTCAGCAACATTTACTCCTAACAATCCATCGTAATGTTAATAACAAGTGCAACCGATAAATGATGTATGTAACCTACTATAGTTAATGTATAACACAAAGAACTATTGGTGATCATGCAGAGATATAATTCCCACAAAAGAGCATTTGTGTACAAGAGATCATTGCGGAGTACAGTACGCCTATAACATATGCTATTATATAACAATCAAGAAACGGAAGAGCAGAATGTTCCAAGGCTTACACTTTCAGCAGATGAATGTTCCAACTGACGCACGTACTTCGGATTGACATGAATGCATTGAGCTGGTCGAGGAGATTCTGAAGCCCTCAAGGAAGACAAGCCAGACCGTTGATTACCGGCTGAAGAAGAAAATTGCAGTTCCGACTCAATTTTGCAAAGGACTGGTGGTGGAAAAACAGATGACCATGTGCCAAAT